CTTCCCCGGGGTAAACAGGGTGCACAGAGCAGATTTCAATCTCTGAACCAGATCCCCATCATCATAAATTTGTTCCTGGGATTTGTTTAGTCTTTGGCCAAAGTGTTTACAAATTTTTACAAAACAAAATGTTTTGCTCAAACAATTCAAACATTTTCAACTGGAAACCAAACTTACTGGTCTGTGTTTTATAGTCTTTTTTTTTGTTGTTGTGGTTGTCTTGCCATTCCCGGTTATTCAAGAGTTCAAGGGTATGTGTTGTATACATTTGCATTAGCAAATGTCATGCTATTCTATTGCTTACCGGGTTTAATACTTGCTTGATTAATCGATTTTCTAAACCAGCTAATCAAGAGTTCAAGGATGATGTACATAGTATACTTAATATAAGCTTAATATTGTAAAAAAGCTGCCATAAATGAATCATATTCCCTGTGATATTTACCTTGATTCATACGCTTTTCTGCTTATTTTCTGCCCACTCGTAGTAGATTTTACAGAACAACACCTTTGCGAAACAATTAAATCTATTTTAGAATGATTACTGCAGTATTCTATAAGTATAAATTTGATTTGTTATATTTCTCGGAAGTCGTAGAATACAATCAGCTTTTTCCAGCAAAACAATGGCTGCCTAAGCAATTTAAATTCTTATATTTCCTATACCTTTTAAAGGGTATCTTCAAAGTCGATACTTTAAGGCAAATATAGATCTATTTTGCCTTATTTTTTTCAATATTAAATTTTAACTGGCCAGCCAGCAATTAGCTGAATGAACCGATGGACTAGATGTGGGGTTTTTTGGGGAGGGAACCGAAACAGTAGTAACCTGTTTTTTTTGGGGGAGTGAAAGGAGAGTGTGTGTCGTTTCAAAAATTTATATCTCAATTTCACATCTAAATGCGAATAATCTTTTTTCTTTTTTTTTCTATACCAGTCTGTGTCAGTGTGTGTGTATGTTGTGTCCATTGAGTGCTGTGGGTTCATTTGATTTGTGTGTGAGAATTGCTGCAGCTGTTTGGCATTGGGGCTGGATCTGGACCCACCTTCTCCCTGTTTCGAGGGGTTTAACCTTTTACCATAAACTGATATAGATCTAGCGAGCTTTATTTGCCGATTTGTGTTCATTTTTTGCCACTTTTCTTATTTTTTATTTGGTACTACGAACGTTTTTTGAAGTGCTGACAAGCCACAAAAAATTTGAATCCTTTTAAATTTGATTTAAAATGGATCTAAGGTCAAGCATTGAGTATGGAAATGTACAGAGAACTCTTTGTGACCTTTTGTAAATTTAAAAAAATTATTTAAGAGCACCTAACAAATTTTTAAAATTTAAAGAAATTTATAACTGATGCACTACTTCTTTCTTAATTAAAGAAATTTGCTCCTAATCATTTCAATATTAAAATGATGTTCCTTTGTGCAAGAAATTTACCTATTGGGAAGCCTCTCATCTTCTCTTGGAAAACCCACTTGCTTAGAATTATTGGGGACGACCCAGTTAACGCCACATGTCACTATATGCTAGACACGATTCGCGATTCCTCTGTCCCATAAGCCGCTCAAACGGCCCAATGAAATATGCATATTTGATATGAGATGACAGCGGCGTCATAGAGGAGGAAAAGAAGGAGGTTGCTCCCTCACAAGGGGATGCAAAAGATAAGGCCTCGAGGGGAGTCACCACCCCCATGAAAATGGGAATACTCTGGCACAGATTTAATATATTTTAGTGCTCCCCTTCGTCGCCAATTACTCATATAAATTATAAAGAAATGAATCAGGAACAAACCCGCCCCCCGGTTTCAGAGTCCATAAATAAAAGTTCTGCTGTAATAATTGTAATTGGTCAACGGGAAAACTTTAACTATGCGATTTCCAACCACCCATACCATTCGAATCCATCGATTTTGGGTCATTTCTTCAACCTAGCAACTCAATTTGCTGTGTGTGTGTAGTAGTTGTGATTGTGATTCACGCTGGATGCACATTAATTGTACACAATAAGGACTCGCACATATAATATCCTTGGCTACGAAATGTATGAAATTTCCATTTCTACTACAAGTGAATTCAATGGAAGCCCAGTTTTTCCGATTGCTTTTCTTGCGTTTGCCATGGATGCGCGAATTGTGGGAGGGAGATTGTGAGAGGTGACCTACATATGAATAAGTATGAGTGCACTGAGGAAAAATTATTATAAGAAATGTAATTAAATTTAAAATGGTTTAGTAAAGTAATTAGATTTGAATTTATTTCAGTTTTTAGCTAAAACCAGTTGGGAATTATAGAGAAATTTATGAAAAAAAAGCGAAATATATATTGAATCATATAATCCAAGCGTGGTAGGATGTTATTATTATGTATAATAATTTCTTTTGAAATATTAAAGTAAAATTTTTTGTTTTTAATTTCTAAAAATTTTCTCTAAGTGCATTCCAACGGATGACTGGGCACACATAATGCAGCTCCTTGGAAACCGAAGCCAGTGGCACTATATACACCCGATCCGACCCCGCCACGCACCCCGCACAGATCGGCATGTGGTCGCTGTCGCCGAGTCTCGCATATATCTCTCTCGATTTAATAGGCCCAATTAGTTAGATGAATTGTGAATGTTCTGAATGCCACGGCGTTCTTTTGGCATTTTTTTTGTTGTCTCCTTCTCTATCTGGCCAAGATTTAAGTTTATGAATATTCAATGAAGTGTGTGCCATAAATTATGAATGCCATTTGTTTGCATTTTGCCTTGATTTTATGGCCTTGAGGCTAAGCGAAGCAAGGGGGACCTAAAACGCACTCCTCTTTATGAAATATTTAATTAAAGTAAAGCAAAAAAATTATATTGAGTTTGAAAATTAAGGATAAAATGTTTAGAAACTTAAAAGTTATCTAGAAATATATTTAGCTAAGCTATAAAAAAATATTTAAAATAAATTCTTGGCCCAAGTTCTTATAGTAAATATCTTGATAATATCCGCTAGAATTTTCCTCTCTTCCAATTTTTTCCACCTTCCATTTAACCCTCTCCCTTCTGGCAAAAGAAAATAAACACTGCGAATTATCCAATTCAAAGTACTCTCTCATTACTCAGCCACCCACGATATTATACACATATATATTTATATAGATATACATCCAAGACATCCTGTTTCTGGGCGGAAGTTGGTTGGATAATTCCACAATCTGGCCATTAGCATAATCAGAACGTTTGCCAAGTGGCAGCTAGCAGGAAAAGGGAAAATGTTTGAACATGCTTGCTTGAGGGAGCAGGGGGAAAATGGGAAAATCCAGAGACGCCGCCGCACTTAAACATTTAAATAAAAATGATAACTTTATGCGAAGGGGTAAAATTAGAGGATAGCCAAAAATGTCATTACAGGACTCTCCTTCTTCCTCTCTCAGACGCAACAGTAGCTTCCACTGACGCCAAGTAAAAGTTTTTCCAAAAAAAAAGAAGAGGATAAAGAAAAATAGTCAAGCAAATCCAGAAAAGTATTAGAAAGTCTGCGGGGGCTTGGGGTTTTGGAGGCAACTCCTGTCTGCGAACAGGTTTCAGGTCGTCAGGCGGGCGTCTGTCTTGTCCTTCCTTTTGCCCCTTTCCTCCTGGATTTCTCCTGGTTACTTTTGCCTCTATGGGTACTTCTGTCTCCCCTCTGGGCCGCCCACTCACATGTCCTGACGTCCTGATGTCCTGGCAACGGTGATAAATGGCGCCAATGTGCCGCCTGGAGTCGCGACGCGTCGCAATCGCTTTTTTTTGGGATGTGCGGGATGTAGACACTGAAAAAAAACTAAGCTTTATCTAATTTATTAATTAAATTTATCAATATTTTAATTTGTATAAAATTAAGCAAGGATTAAACAGAAAATAATGAATAAAATAACAGAAGATAATAGGGATAATGTAGAAAGCTGAATCACAATATTCTTATTTCAGTTTAAAAATATTTTCTTGCTTTTTTAGTTAAAGATTATTATTAAATTGTATTAAAGTTTTTAAATATGTTTATTAAATATATTTGATAATATTTTTTATTTTCAAAAACCTTAAAAAACTTGCTAAAATAATTAAAATAGATTTTTAGATTTAGGAATTAATATTTCCCTATTTCTTATTTTAAGATATATTATAATTATTATATATATTCTACTTATATTTTTTTCTCAATGTGTACAAATTTTAGGTTGCTGAAATCTGCGGCAAGTTGCCTTTTTCAGTTAGTTTAGTTTGTAATGCTCCATTTAGTTTTGGCTCATCCCAGTCTACTTTCTTCTTTTTTTTTGTTGGTTATACCCAAAACCCATTCGGGGGAAAAAAGATCCATCTGATGACAAATCCACACTAAACGTGTTTGATTCTATTTGTTTCTCTCGTTTTTTTTTTTCTTTCTACACCCGGTGACATGTAATTGTCCTCTTTTTTCCCGCACCTAGACAGGATTGGATGGGATGGCAAAGGATAGAGCCTGGGTTGTGTGTAGTCGATGTCGATTTGCTGTCATTACGCTGCTTACACGCGGTTATTTATGACAATTGTTGGAAAATATGAATTGACAGCGACTAGGACGACTACGACGACGACGACGGCGACAGGCGACGAGGTCTAGTGAAGACATCTTCCAATTAGGGAGCAGGGAATACGGAATACGGGATACGTATCTGTATGTTCCAAGGAAATAAAAACGTCGACAGACAATTGAATGGCACAAGAGACTCTGGCGAAAAGGAAAGCGCAGCCAGCAGCAGTTTTCCTTCGTCACCAAAGCGATTGCTTGCGAATTGTTACATCAGCGCAATGAGCTCGTTTTTAGAGAAAGAAAAAAGAAAATAATTCAGGGATTTGCAAATTTAGCAATTTGATTATTTTTCTATTTTTTGGTATTTTTTTGTATTTTAACATGCAGAAAATTTTACATTTTAGGTTTGAATGATAAGAGCTTTAAAAGAGTTATTTATCTTTCTAAAATTCTCTATATTTTCTTACTTTTATCTTTCAGAACTCCATCCGTCACAATCTGTCGCTGCACAACCGCTTTATGAGAGTGCAAAACGAGGGCACCGGCAAGTCCTCCTGGTGGATGCTCAACCCCGAGGCCAAGCCCGGCAAATCGGTGCGTCGTCGTGCCGCCTCCATGGAGACATCGCGGTACGAGAAGCGACGTGGACGGGCCAAGAAGCGTGTGGAGGCACTGCGTCAGGCCGGTGTTGTTGGTCTAAACGATGCCACGCCCTCGCCAAGTAGCAGTGTATCCGAGGGATTGGATCATTTTCCGGAGAGTCCGCTGCACAGGTAACTACCAACTGCGAGTAGAAGGCTTAGATTAGAGTAGATAATTTATTGCTTAGCTTGAAAGTTATTTTATTAATAAGAAATTAAAGTATAAAATATATTTTTTTGTTTAGAAATATCGTTAAAGTTTGCATATCGTTTGTTTAAATGGGTTTAAAAGTTTAAAAATTCTTAAAGAAATTGTTCTTGTTAAAAAATAGTTTATATTCAAATTAAAGTAAAGAAAAATAACCACTGTTAATTTGAAGCAAATTTATAGTTTAGCATAATAAATTTATGGCATTTTCTGGCTCAAAAACATAATTTTTTTGCTGGCAATTAATTTAAATTGATAAACAATTATGCAAAAACAATTTTGAGATTTAATTACTATTACTATATATCGGTAATAACATAGTTCATGGTGTAACTTGTAAAGTCATTAAATAAAGCGTTAAAGGTTGGAATTTAGAATAGTGTCACGATTCTGAGACGTGAGACAAGTCTTTTAACTAAGAAATTAGCTTGCTTAAAGTAGGAATTTTCTTGTATTTAAAATAAAGTTAGGAAATATATAATTTCATTGAATTGCTAAAAAAGCCCTCTGTTATGGTATTTAATATACAATTTTTAATAAATATAAGCATGTGATAATATTTTTTCCTTCTATGTTTTTAATAATATTACAAGCTTCTCTTTGAAATAATATTCCTCACCTATGTATATATACACTTAAGTAATAGTTTTTAGCTAGTTTAAGTAGTGCTTTTAGAGCTTGACTAATTTTTTAATCAATTTATAAACTAGCAATCGTGCAATCTTAACTTTTACTTGTATGACAAATTGGCCAGTTTTGTAGCCTTTCCTTGAGGCGTACTTCCGTCTTTAGTCTTATGTCTAAGTTATATTATATTTTAAATTATTTTATTCTATATTTTATTTATTTATTTCTTATTTCTTTCTTTCCCTTTAATTTTCTTTTTAACTGCGTCAATAAAGTGGCGGCGGCTTCCAGTTATCGCCCGATTTCCGGCAGCGCGCCTCCTCCAATGCCAGTTCCTGCGGACGCTTGAGTCCGATCCGCGCCCAGGATCTCGAGCCCGATTGGGGCTTCCCCGTTGACTACCAGAACACAACGATGACCCAGGCCCATGCCCAGGCGCTGGAAGAGCTAACGGGCTCCATAGCGGACGAGCTGACGCTGTGCACCCAACAGCAGCAGCAGCAGCAAGGGTCAGTTTACTCGATGGCTGTTTTTGTTTATTAATTGTTTTTGGTTTTTACGTTTTTGTGTAAATATGTGTTACCCAAAAACCATTATAATATTATATTATTTTACTGCATGACCAAACTTAGCTAAAGCTTTGTATGCCGCCAATGGAATTTGGATTATATTTGAAAATCAGATCTATAAAGTCACCTTTTCTTTCGTTCTCGCCACCCAACGATCGTACGGCTGGAGCAGATTCAGTGCCGCCTCCGGGTTACCCACGCAGCCACCCCCGCCGCCCTATCAGCCGCCGCAGCATCAGCAGCAGGCGCAGCAGCAGCAACAGTCACAGTACGCCCTCAATGGCCCCGCCCTCAATGCCAGCGGCTATAATACGTTGCAGCCACAGTCGCAGTGCCTGCTGCATCGCTCCCTCAACTGCAGCTGCCTGCACAATGCAAGAGATGTGAGTAAAACGAAAGACCTTGTAATAACAAGATGCATAACGAACGCATTCCTCTTGCTTTTGCAGGGCCTATCGCCAAACTCCGTGACCACCACAATGTCGCCCGCCTATCCAAACAGCGAGCCCTCCTCGGACTCCCTGAACACGTACAGCAATGTGGTGCTCGATGGAACCACGGACGCTGGTTCGCTTCTTGTCCAGCAGCAGCAACAGCAGCAGCAGCAGCAGCTGGAAGGTAGCCTAAACTTCCTCTCTATCTCTATATATGTCTTCCCTCTACTATATATCTGTGTATCCCGCTTATCTTCTCTAATCCCTCTAACCGTCTGCGAAACTCCACCCATTTCGATGCGAAATGTTAGATAATAACTGCGCCTCTACTTTGATAGGACAATGCCTGGAGGTGCTCAACAATGAGGCGCAGCCGATAGACGAATTTAATTTGGAGAACTTTCCAGTGGGGAATCTGGAGTGCAATGTAGAGGAGGTGATATATCATTACAACAGAGTTTTGAAATATATATTAATATCTTAATATTTATATTGTAATAGCTTTTACAGCAGGAAATGAGCTACGGCGGCCTGCTGGACATCAACATACCCTTGGCCACTGTGAACACCAACCTGGTCAACAACAGTGTCGGCGGTGGCTCGACCCTTAGCAACCTCAGCAACCTCAGCGGCCTCTGCAATCTGAGCAGCAATTCCGGCAGTAATCCCAGCCTGAATCAGCTGCAGGCTCAGCTCCAACAGCAGCAGCAACTACAACAACAGCAGCAGCAGCAACAGCAGCAGCAACAACACCAGCAGCAGTTGTTGCTTAATAACAACAATAACAACAGCAGCAGCAGCAGCAGTCTAGATTTGGTGACACAAACGGCCAGCACAAACCTAAACGCACGAGTCCAGTACTCACAGCCCAGTGTGGTCACCTCGCCGCCCTCCTGGGTGCACTAGATCCGATGATCCACGATGATCCATAGTCGTTAGGTAACAAGTGTGTGTGTGCTTGAGTGCATGTGTGTTGTTTGTGTCGCCAATGGAACGCTTTAAAACGCTAATTCTAAGGACAATAGTGTAAAGTGGAAGCAAAGGAAGTTGCCGCAACAGCAGCTGCAGGATCAGTGAGCAGGAGAGAAGGCAGAAGCCGCAGCTGGTTAGCCACTAAAAAGTTTACAAAGTGAGTAGAAAATTGGGGAAAAAATCAATAAATTGGTATAGTTTTAATCTTAAATCTTATTAAGAAGTATCTGAAAGCACCCACCCCAACTCTGGTCGGTTTCAATTTACATCAGAGCTCTAAAAGCTATTCAATGTGACAGCATAAATTATGTTAATAAACGTCATTTCATGGCGCGCATTTTATGAATATGTAAAATATGAAAAAGTGGCACAGACCGGAGGAGAGAAACCACCACACTCCCCCGTGAATTCTTTAAGGGATTTTTGCTTTCCGTTCCTCCACTTTTCCCTGTCCTGTTTATATACAAATCGTCTTCAGTTGACTTCATTTCACCCATGAATCTTTTATGGACATTTTGTTTCGTTTCCTTCCGAATTTTTCTTTTCTTGGCCGCGGAATTTGTACTTATTATGTGTTTCCATTTCTTTTTTTTTTTGCCTGCTGCTACTTGAGGGCAATTACACGCGTTCAATTATCATAATACATTGTCAAGAGGAGTTGCTGCTTCGTGTCCTTGTTCCTTTTTCAATTTAAGCGCTTTTAAAGTGAGAGCTAGCCTCGCGCTTGGCGCTCACTCAAATTATGGCAAATTAAGTCAATTTACCTAAGCCATAAAATATGTAAGAGGCCACTTTGCTACCTGGACGAGAGACCAGGATACCTCCTGGCCCGTGTGTCCTTTCCAGCGCTAATTTGACTGGCCAAGCGAGAAGCGAAGCCAAGGGAAACAGCCCGAGGGCCAATTCTCAGCTCTAGCAAACCGCCGAGCAAATTCGTCAAGGCAACCCCCCCAAACTGAATTTCCCTAGCTTTTCCCCCACGAAAAGCAAATGCTGAAAAATTAATTACGTCCTTAGGGTGACTTATGCATGCCACTGATATCTGACCCCTCGTCAGGTGGACTCTGAAGTTGGAAGGGGAACTCCTCGGCTCAAATCAAGCGCGTTAAACGTTGCTAATATTGAAAAATTACACTGCTGATGGGTGAGATTGTTTAATGGCAGAGATTTTAGCAGGGTTTTGAGAGTGTTTTTGATTGAAATGTGTTTATTTTTTATAAGAATATAGGAATTTATAGGAAAAGCTTGTAAAGGTACCTGGAAAAAGGATAAAAATTTTAATTAATGGTTTAAGTTTAAAAACTTTAATGGATTTTATGAAGTTTTTCACTTAATTTTTCCTAAATTTGGTTTTATTTTGTGTGTTATTTGTAAATCAATGCAGGAGTTAAATTTTTATAAACCTACATTTTTACGTACTTACAAAGTATAAAAGGTTCGCTTTGCTATTATTTGATTAGAACATTTCTTACAGCTTCTAAATTTATAATATTTAAATGACCAACTTCTTGGAGCTAAACTTTTACAGCCTCTCAATTACACTCCCACTCTAAACCTGAAATTTGTGGTTCCACTTAAAATTCCTACAACTTAACTGTCCTTTTTTTTATTTCTATTTCAATGTCACGACTGGCGGCAACTGTCACCGCGCATTTTTGCTTTGTGCCAAACTTCAGCGAGAGCAGGCGAGGTGAGGCGCTGGGAAAAAAGGTCCTTGGGGACTGGGGAAAACCTTTGTCCACACAAATTGAATTCCTCACTAAGTTGCTGCTGTAAGCCAACAATTAGAAAACAGCAAAGCGACCAGAAAAAAAGAAATCAAATGAAAGAAAAAGGACCAAGTTGCCAAGTAGAAGGACAAAGTTGTAACTTTATCAAGTTTGGCGCCAATCGCATGACGTGCTAATAAAATAAAATTTGCCAGCGAAGAATTCGAAATGATTTCGAAATTTATGCCAAGTGCAAACTTTTGTGTTTGCTGGGCTTCCTTTTTTTTTTTTGTCTCCGCTTCATTTGAGTGAATAATTTGAATTGCATCAGCAGTGGATTTCCATTTCCATTTCTTTCACTTTTTTTTTTTTTTTTCATAATTCACCCAACTGACAGCGGCTAGAGGAATTCCTTTCTTATTATGCTAATGCCTTAAAGTGGCCCCCCTCTCTCTGTGCATATTTAATAAAGAATTTCATAAGGATTTGTGTAACTTTAAGCGAGGGCAAGGGCTGGTGTCCTGGATAGGCTTATTAGCCAGGAGCAGCGACACATGCCACTCAATAAGTTGCCGCAACGCAACATCTGCCCAGGAGGCAGCAGCAGCGGAGTCGTCCTATAAAACGCTGAAATGTTGTAAAATCTGAATGGAGGATAGGGGATACGGGCTAGGGGGAGGTGTGGAAATCACATCATCGTCCGCAGATTGACTGACTTGACACATAATAAAGTCACACTCAAATTATGGCTGCAGATGCTGTGCCACCAAGGGGGCAAGAACTTACCATTCTCTTGGCTTTTAAGACACCGAAAAAAATATAAAGAAACATTTTAAATGAAATGACAAATTTTAAGTTTGATTTTAAAATAAATTTAGATATAGTATAATGAGGATTTGGTTTCAAACTGGTTTAATTTTTGTTATGTTAATCGTAAAAACAAGTCTTATGTTTTTGTCTTCAAAATTTTACTATAATTCCCAACTGGTTCTGTACTTTAATATACTTTTTTAATTATTATTAAAATGAAAAAGAATGTGGATTTGGATTTATAGAAATATTTATTACATTAACCTTTTTCTCATAGTTTTTAACTTAAACTTATACTAATTTCTTACTCAATATTAATGCTCAAATATTTCCAAACTAATTTTTCCCAGTCCATATTTAACAGGGGGTGCAGGTCGGTTGCCCTGGTGAAACCGCGCGTGAAACACAAAGGCATTTTCAGGCAATTTATTAGTTGACAAAAAGAAGGAAACAAAAAAAAAGAAGAAACGTGCAAAGGGGCCCGGAAAATGGGGGGAAAAATATGCGGCTTCGTTGCCGCGGCCTTTACATTTTTTTTTTCTCTTTATTTTTGGTCCTGGCAACCAGAGATTTGGAGGAGACCACCGCAAGGACCACTACAAGTTTCGCTTAGGTGTTGAAACTTGTCCGCAACTCGCTGAATAATTCAGAGGGCCAAAAACTTTGCTGCCTCCCGGCTCACATTTGATTAAATTTTAATGCCAGTGCACCATCATTAATAAATTCCCAGCGGGGTGAAGTTTGAATAAATTGAATTAGCGACAGGATTTTTTGTCCTGCGGGAGCTAATCCCCGCAGATTGTTTGACAAACTTTGGACAGGTTTGCCCATCACCGAAAGGCCGGCAGTGTCAGAACTAATTGCCCAGCAAAGTGGTGGTAAAAAAGTGCGAGAAAGTGTAGGAAAAACTGTAGACCCTGCATAGGCATTGGCATTCAAATGAAAATTTCATTATCCTGTGCCGGGAAATCAATTTGTCAGCGCGCTGGGGAAATGCGCGTTTTCATCGTACAAATTGTCAAGCAATTTAATAACATTTAAGCTGCCAACGGCGGTTACAAATGATAAGCGAGGACACACACACAGAGAGAGATCCTGATCCAACAAGGACCTGTTCGTGGGTCCTTGTGGCAACAAACCGCATTTACACTCACTTAACTCGACACGATGCGGAGGTCGTAGCCTCCATGGTTAGCTTTTCCCTTTTCCTGAGCAGGGAAAACAATTGCCGGCAGGAAAAGTGGGATGGCGGGGAGGAAGGCGGAAAAACGGCTTGTGTACGTACAAGCTGCTTAAGGTCCTTAAGGACCTCTCCCTCTCTCTCCCTCGAACGCATGTTCAAACAAATAAAGCTCTGCGAGCGGTTTAAACACTTGTTGCATGGACAAAGGATAATAATGACGTGACAGTCAGGAGCTCCAGCGAGGACCATAAAACACACAGACATAAGACACGTTTGGCTTTACACAGTAAATAATTTAAGGTGTATTTTATTTTTAAGAGAGATTTTTAAACAAAATTGTTAGAGAGAATTAAAGAGAAGAGGTTTGATTTACTTTGATTATTAAACCTCTAATCCTTTCTTTTTATTTACTTTCAAATAGTAAAAGAAAGAATCCAGAATTTCATTTTTGTGTAAGTAATAAAGCAAACATTAGGCTCACTTTTGTTATAAACTGGCAAGGTGTTAGCAAAGGACTTGCCAGAAAGGGGCAAAAGACTGGCAAAGACACCTGGTGGCTTTCTTGTCTTGTCCTGCACCTCTCCTTCCTTGAAAACCCCTCCAAATATGTATTATACCCAAGGCATCTAATCAGGAGGGGGTCATGACATGTAGTTATACACCAAAAAAATTTAATGCCCCCGCGGGTGTTGGCCATAAAGCGCTCATAAGTAGGCAATACCCCTCGCACTTGGCACTCGTTCATCTTCATCTTCAACCCCAACCCCTTGCAGCAGCTTTCATCTCTGATTCTGGGCTGGCAGCTCCTTCAAAGTGCCGCATAAAATTCAATTGCAGGCCATAAAAACTGCGCGTGATCTACATACCCAATATAATCTAAAGCTGTAACTAATAAAATTGTGTCAGCGATAAGCGCTGGCGAGGAAAGGAGCTTTGATTTTTATGTTTTTCAAGGGAATTTATTGAGCCAAGGAGGAAGAAATCTTATTTTAAATGTTTAGCTTTGCTGTTGTCGTTTTTATGGCATAATTTTTTGGGCCGTTTGTAGTTTCTATCTTGCGGGAAGGGGGAATATATATTTGCATAAAAATTGCCCAGAAGTGGAGGGGAGGAAAGTGTCTTTCTCTATCTCCGTCTCATCAGACTATGCTTATGAATATTTCGGAGCCTGCCAAGTGTCAAGTGCCATTACTAGCCCCTCTTCCCCCCAAAAAAGATATAGAGAAATCTGAATAAATTAGCTCTTTAAGAGGGTGAAAAGGAGGCCTTGTCTTGGTCATTGTAGGACATGCTGATTGTCCTTATATGAAGTGTTGATGTGGAGATGATTGTTCCATTGAAATTTAACTCTACTTTATAGCTCAGCTTCTATTTTAAATTTTACTAATAGTTTTTTGTATATTTCTATTCTCGTTTCAGGATAAATCTGGTCGCTTCTAATCTAACATACATACAATACATATACATAGATATATAACTACATATATATATATATATATAATATGCATTACAAATAGAAAACGAAGCATACAAATAATACCAATTAATCACCAATAATTAGATGCTACCATCATTAGTAAAATTCTCTGTTGTGGCAATGCAAAAAGGAAAAGGAAAACTAAAAACAAGCAACTTTGTCAGCTATCGAGGGAAAATTTTGAATTGAAAAGAAACCACGGTTTAGTCATTAAGTTCAACTTTGTACATATTAATTTTAATAACCTTGACGTAATGCAACAACCAACCAACAAATAATAATAATAATAATAATAGAACCTCTACTGATAATGAAAACAAGCGTAAAACGTAAACTAAATGTTCGGACAACTAAATGGAAAACTATATTCATTCGTCAAGCTATCATGGAAAGAAAATAAGAAATAATACGAGAAAAACAAAGGCAAGAAAACCTACAACAACAAACAAGAAATTAGCACAATTATGTAATAATTTATGCTTAATTAATGTATTTAATTGAAAACAAAAAAATCTAATTGTAATTGTATATTTTTTCTATAAACAAAAAGAGCAAACGAAACCCTTAAAGAAGAAACTTGTGTAAAAATTATGCTTAAGATTCGTAATGGAATACGTAATAAATTCTCCGGTTAGTTAGCATCAGGATCAGCTTACGATTAAACCCTCCCCACCCCCCAAATCCCCTTTTGTTACCCACAAATAATATGTAGATTGTACGCATTAAACAAACAAACGATAACAATGAAAACATTAAACCAATTGAATGTAATTCATTGAAATTTCAAATATTAGTAAATGTAAATGTTGCTAGGCAAAAAATTAGGAATACGAGAAAGAAAAACCACAGAATATCCGCAAAAACCCCCAGAAACCCTAAAAACCACAACTAGAAACCAGAAATAACAAGCAAATACAACAACATGCGCATCATTGTGTACTATTATGGGCTAAATGTTAATTATTAACTAGATTGTACAATTCAAATGTAGTTCATACTATTTAAAATGCAAAAACGGAGTGAAGATGAATAAACTGATGATTCAATATAAGAAACAACACCAATATCTCGTCTTTTATATATGTACATATGTGGCTAAAAGGAAAATTAAAAAAAATAATAATAAAATAAAAATATAATAATAAAAAAAAGATCCCTACCCGGATTCGAACCCTCAACCTTCTGCATAACCAGTTTCAAAACCAGTTTTACACACAGTAACGCTATAATTCCCAAGTCGTTATTCCGCAGCGTTCATTTAAGGCTAACCTCTTGTTCTGGGCAATCCTCACAAATTGCTTACGTCATCAAGTCGATCTTGAACTCAAGCGAATTTCACAACCACAAGACATTGAAAGTTATTCGTTGTTTGCAAAAACAACTATTAAATATTAATCGTTGCACAAAAAATAAGAAAAAGCTATTAAAAAAGATATCAAAGCTCTTAACTTTAACCTTCACCATGAAGGCGTCTTCAAGACGCAGGAACTGTAAAGTTTCCAAGATATATAAACGATTCAAGCGATTGCAAAAGCTCAAAGATCGGTGTGAACCAATGGATATAGATGTTGATATTAATCCGATTAATTCTCCTCCTCCAAACGATTGTTGCGAGCCAATGGAAGTCGATACCTCCACCGATACACAGGTAGCTCAAATTGAACCTAAGCCACCACCACAAAGCCAAGTATCTGTATCTGTTAGTGTTACCATAGTGCCTCTGCTGCCACGTACAAGTAACCTGGATGCAGAGTTATAAATGAAATAATTCAAATATTAATTTATTTTTTTTATTTTTATTGGGGTGTTTTAATTTATTTCCACAAAAATCGCACTTGCCACTACAAAGGAACTGGTGCTTTGACACATTTTAAATATCAATTAATTAAAGTTTGTTTTTATCTTTTTGGTCGGCACTGTATGTACTGTTAGGTATTAGGTTTATAACTTGGATAAGTCGCACCTAGTTTCCACACCCTGTGTTTTACTTGACGTCACTGTCGGTAGTATCAGATACCAACTTAAAGCAGTTTGTAAATTCTAATAAAAGCAGTGCTGTCACTGAAAATAAAACATTTATTTAAAAAAATAAAAACACTTTAGTTAACAAATAAATTATTGATAAATTTATTTTATTTTTATTTTATTTATTTTGTTTAAAAATAAGTTTTTAAGAATTTTCTTTTGAGCATAAGCCAACGGAAGCCACTACAAAGAAGCTTAAGCTGTAGTTAATATTTTTATATTTATTATATTATTATATTATTAAATGATTATTCTATATTTTCTATATACTTCAATTGTTGCTAATTTTATTTAAATTTGTATAGTTTAATAATAATTTAAGTTAATTTTCCTTAATAAATATGAAAAACTACGTTAAGATCAGCTGGTCTGCCTCTGCTCAGTGCCTCCGCTCATTTCCGATTTAATAAACAAATAAAGGCACTTCCCCAACACCTCTTCCACTTCCCGTGAGCTTCCACTTCCCACTTCCACCTAATTCAGTATTCAAAAGCTAAGTCAACACGCGTGTTTTTCTTAATACGAATATGTAGTTTAGTTAGTGGCTGCCTTCCTCTTAATTTTCTTTTTGTTTAAAGTTTTCAGCAGCAGCTGATTGAACGTTGACCGCCCAAACACTAGACACTGAGCACACACTCAACAAAAGGCCGGAAACTTTCAATTCAATTTCAGTAAAGAGTTAGTCGAGCAAGAAAGACACTCATAAACCGGCCAGTCGCTGACCAGTTGCCAGTCATTTGTATTTTGAAACCGCTTTCGGTTTCGGTTTCGGTTGCGTTTCTGTTTTCTGTCAGTTGCATTTAAAGCTCCGAGCACAGCAGTTGCAGTCGCATTTATTTATAACTAAAACAAAAATCGTTGTTGATTAGCAACAGAAAATTAACGTGGTTATACTAAGTTGTAAGTGTTTTGAAATTGTGAATTTAAAAAAACCAGAACAAATTTAGTTACCGGTCTAAAAGGGATAGTTCAACTTCAAAGGTTTCAGTTTTTAGAGCAAGTAATTTTCCTGTAACGTTTATTTAAGGTCCAGTTTCAGTTCTTATAATACCCTTACAAGGGGTATTATAAGTTTAGTTAGAAGCTTACAAAACAGTGAAGAATTAATTTCCGACCCCATAAACCGTATATATTCTTGGTCAGCATCAACAGGGGAGTCTATCTAGCCTTGTGGGGAAGAAAAAAAAAATTATCGATTTTTTTCAAAATTTGATAAGGGGTTACATCGTTAAAATTCCCAAAAATTGCCAAATTTCCTAATTTCTTTAAAAGTTAAAATATGCAGATTTGTTAATCTACAAGAAAATAACACAGAACAGCTTTCCGAATTGAAATAGATGGTTTTTTGACTAAGTTATAATTAAAAAGGGTATGCAAGTTTCGACTTCCTGAAGCTAGTTTCCTTTCTAGTTTTTTTTATTTACTGCTCTTGAGAACTACAAATTCTGCAAAATATTCTCTAAGAACCTTTTTAAATGCACAAAAAACAAATGGATTTCATTGATATTATCATTATTTCTGGTCAAAATCCCATCAATCAATAAACATTTTTGTTTCGTCACCATTTCGTAAATCAAGCTTATCTTGTATAAGTCTACTTATTCCCCTTTTTTCTGATATAAAAACCCATCTAACCAATCGATCAACAAACGATTTCTGTGTCGTCACGTTTCGATTTCAGTTTCGGTTTTGTTATATTCTCGATTTCGTTTGAATTGGAAGGGGATCTCAACTTTCTAAATGCTAATAGAGGAGGAACTCTGAGCTGGAGAGGCGTTGAGCTTTACAAAAGTGGGCACGTCATTTACTTCCTGGATTAACCCGAACAAAGGTGGAACGGAACGCGTTGTTAATTCTTAATAAGTTTCACTAAATTAAGACGATGTCTTGCATAACAAGTGCTGATGACGATGACGATCTCTTTCTATATAAAATAACGTTTGCCAGCCCATTCTCAGACAGTACTCAAAGCTTACTGTTTGCTCATGGCGAATTATTTGTTTATATATTTGCATTTGTTTTTAAGCACACAGCAATTATTATTTGCCCACCTTTTTATGGCCACAAGACATTGTAGGTATTGTTTGAGATTGCACCTATATTGGTTTTTTAGATGTCTAAAACAAAGGTCAGAGAGTAATTCCTCTCAAAATCGGTGTCTAAAATTAATTTCTTTTTGGAATTGTAGATCAGTTTGTTGTGGAAATGGGGTATTACTTTGATTGATTGAGGCATTTCCCTTTAGAGTGTAAAAGTTTCACTATTCTTAAAGAAAAACCCTTGCGTAAATTGAAATAGTAATGGATATGGCCTGTGGCAATTGTCTGCGAGTGTCTTGGGGCTTGGCAGGGATGAAAATGGGCGGCATTTAATCAAGCGCCGTGAGTCAGTTGAGCCACTCGATCGGTCAGTGGCTCACCTATCTCTCTTATATATCTTATATATCTTTTATATATAAAACGAACACGCGAGTCAGCCGCCGCTCAGTTGCTGTTCGTCGTTCGCAGCTTAAAGTACTTCAAGCTCAGTCTGAGTCTGAGTCTGAGTCTCCGCGTGAAAACCTAGACAAAAAGTACAACTCAAATTGACCAACAATTGCTTGGAAATTGGTAAATTAAGCAGTTTAATAGGATGATAAAGATGATAATACCTAAATAGGGGAGTAAATAGAACTCTTAAAGTTAGCCAGTGGTTTTTTAGGTCAACTGTCAGTCAGTCAGTCAGTCTGCCGCCTTGTGCTGTCCAACTTATAATTACAGTGTTTAAGATTCGGATTGTTGTGATATTTAGTGCTGCGATTTTAAGTCAAGGTCAATCTTTCGCTTAAAGCTCACTTCAGACTGGTCCAAGACCGGTTTTATTTTACTAGCTGGTTATGTTTTGTTATCAAACCAGGCAAAGCCAAAGCTCGAGACCCTGCCTGGCCCCGGGGGGGCCTAAATTAGTTGACCAGCAATTAGCAACATCTCGTTAAATTAGCCTCACTTCTCTTGCAATTAGCCAGATCGTCATCACCAAACACGCCATGAAGCTCAACGCGAGTCTGCTTCTCATCTGTGCCGCTTTGCTGGGCTGCTCAACGGCCACGGATGTCAGGCCATGTCCGAAATGTAAGTGAGAAAAGTTATAAAATTGACATGATAACATCTAGTATAATTAAAAATCAGTTAAGCCCTGCAAAATTAATTTATTAAATACTGGGAAAATCTAATTAAATGGTATACTCTATAATTTTGTTTTATTCCTGGTAATTACTTTGATTATTCGTTCACTTCATTTTTAATAAAATTAAATGAAATGGAAGTAGAATATAAGAAAGGGTCATTTATTGTGACATTTTTTTTTATTCCATTAACTTTAGATTTAAATATGAATAATATTCATTGAATATTTGATCGGTTTTTTTTATTTTTTATATTTAAATTATTATTATTATTCCTAGAATTACTTTTTAATATAAGCCTTACTTACCCTGTCAACACTGCGTATGAGTAATAAATAATAATAATAATACCATATATTCTCCCTGTATCTAATGTGGAACGGTATATATTTACAATGACTTTCATTTGGCCTTGTAATTTGAATTCAGATAATGATTATTATAATGACACATAGTTCTTGATTGACATGTAAATTATTTACTAAGTATCATTTTCCCAGGCAACAGGGCGCATGAGTAATTACCCTTTAGGTTAAATTTATGATTATATTAAGACTTTTAATTATTTTGTTAATTATTTACGCCTTAAACTTTGAACATTAAGTGGCATTTAATTGAATAAAGAATTTTTAAGCTAAAGACCCGTTTAAGATGACAGTAAATGCACAGGCTATAAATTTGTGAATTAATATACTCAATTTAGAATCAAAATTCAGACTTTGCTTGAATTCTTGAACTGTAAATAAGATTTTAGATAAAGTCAAAATAGATTTCATTTATAATTTCTTAAAAAATTAATATTTCTTATAATTTGTGAACTAATTTGTTACAACTATTTCCTCCCTCTTCACAGCTAAGGCAAAGGCTCTAAGTGCCAGCGAGGTGTCCATCTCAAACTGCCCCAAAAACAAGTGCATACTCAAGCGCAACACCGAGGCCAGCATCCAGATGAAGCTCCGGCCGGAACGTGACTTCCAAGAGCTGACCTCTGACATCCAGGGCATCATTCTGGATGTGCCCCTCCCTTTCCCCGGCTACTATGGCACCAGCGCCTGTCCGCACATCTACGACGAGGCGGGCGAGAAGAAGGTGGGCTGCCCCCTGAAGGCCGGCCAGGTGTATACCTACAAGAACAGCTTCAAGATCCTGCCCGTCTACCCCACCGTCAGCCTGGAGATCCACTGGGGACTTGGCGACAAGCAGGGCGATGCCGCCTGCTTCCAGATCCCCGCCAAGATCAAGGCTTAGTGCACTCAATGTAGCTTTTATTAGTGGTAAATCTTAGGAGCTTAAGTAATAGGGATTAAGTATGGTTAAGTTAGGGCTCCCATAGCCGAGAGAGAGAGAGCGCACGCAATCTGGTGGCCATTATTGCGGCATCCAGCCAGTGACGCAATATGGCCAGAGGACTCCACCAGAACCCGCTCGGAAGAGGTTTAATAAAAAATTTCCACAACGAACTCTACGAAACGCCTTCATGTACATACACTTGCTCTACTTTCCGCCGCGTATTTGCTTTAATTGTTTTTTGGAATTGAATTTTTTAATTGATGCCCGGCATGCAATGATCTCTCGTGTGTGATCTTGTGATAAATATCTTTTCGATTTGACGTAAGAGTTCTAGGGAGTTCACTTCTTGAGCTCATACACCGGCTGCTCCTCGTTCTCTGAGGGCTCTAAAAGCAGATCCTGATTCTGCACAGCCTGCTGCAGCTTCCGCCAGCTCTCGGCAGCGGCATCGTAACCCCTCGGAGAACCTCGGCCACGACCCAGCTGCTGCTGTTGCTCCTGTTGCTGCTGCAATTGCCTTAGTTGGTAGCGATGCTGCCGGAGCAACTGGGTCCACTTTAGGCCATTGCCGTTACCAATCCGGTTGCGTTCCTCCTCGACCCGACGAGCTTGCAGAGCTGACGATAAGGGAGCTGCTGCCAGGGGCCCACCACTGTTGCTGTTGTCATCATTGTTGTCCTCTGGGTTCTGATTGTTCTGGTTGTTGGTGTACAGCTGCTCGGCCAGGGCATCAAGGGCATAGGTGTTGGGTCCAGGTCGCTGAAGGATGAAAGTTTGAAAATGGGGTAAAATATAAAAGGTATTATTTATAGAATATTCGGCATTTGACTGTGCTAAATTAAGAATATAATGTGTGGGGTAGGACTTCACTTCCTCCGCTTACCTGCTTAGAATCCTCTAATGCCTTGCCTCCGGATCTCTTGCCATGAGCTGTAAAATATGAAGTATATATACAACGTATACAGATGATGAACTAGTCCTATTAGCTTCTAACCAGCAAACACTTACCTCCCCAACAAGAATGTCCATATTCCAGGCAGGAACCTGCAAGTAGGCAACACATTTTTTCCAATTTAGAATAAATCATAATCAGCTGCCAGTGGAAATTCCACCAGCAAATGAGCTCCATAGCTTTAAGCCCCCCTGGGGTTGCCTCTAGGCCAAAAGGCTTTAAAGTTGTTCCCTGCCAAGGTAAGTCAGTTTCCTTACTGGGTTTCCTGTGAGCTACTCTGTTTGTTGCCTCACAAAACCCAATGTTTATTGTGTGCTCGGGCTGCTAATGTCGCGAGCCATGATAAATGCGGCCATTATGAAACTCATACGCCAAGTCGGAGTGGGTTGAGTAATGCACTCGGCAGTGAAAGGAGCAGAAGGAGGAGGACGAAGGCGAAGGAGGCTGCTCTCCAGCTTCCCTGTGCGTGCAATATACTGAGCGAAAAAAGTGTTACCTAATTCCTGACCTTTCTCTAATACGAAGAACTTTCAGTTGCCATATTTTCCTTAGTGCAGTGGCAGGACCAACCTGTGGCTGTTCATAACACACAGCTTACACAACGTCCTTGATGCCACACCATGCATTGTGTCCCAAAAAAAAAAATACAGAAAAGGTGAAAGGAAGTGGTGGCCCAGAACTAATCACACAAATGGACGGCAACGCATCATCAGCACCAGGACGAGACCTCAGCTGGGACAGGACTCTTAGAAACGGATGCGAAATGTCAGTCGAGGGCAGATCTGCGACAAAGAGCCGGAGTTATGGCATGTGAATAGCAACAAGTTCCATGACGCAGATGGCCCAGAACAGGGCGCAAGGGAAGGTGGCGTTTGCATAAGCTTAGATAAATATAAATAACTATCTTTTATATCCAGGCCAGACGACAACTCACTCCAGCGTCGGCTGTTGCTACCCCGCTGGCCATATATCAAACCCGTAATCATTTGTCAATTACTTAAACCGTGGATTAATTGTTGCCGGGCAGCCGGACAGCGACCGAAGCCCATACATGCTGACAGGCATGGCGGGCATGGCCATCAGAGATAGCGTTTTCCCCATTTTTCGAAGGGCTGTCATTAAGCAAAGTCCTTGCTTAACGGCCTTCCAGGGAATCCTTCGACAGCGATGCCTAATTAAGTTGACTATTGCAGTTTAATGGCCACATCCTTGATCTTGGCCAGAGTCGTTGGCCACTTTGGAGTAATGCGAATAATACGAGTAATGCCTTTTTTTAATGGCCCCACCTCTCATAGTGCGACGCAATTTGTCTGGAAACCCCATTTAATGGGCCATTCTACCTGTGATGGGTCAGTATCTGAGTATCTCAGTATCTGACTGCTGCTATCTCTGACTTTTGTTTGGGTTTTGTTTCGGTTTCCGTTTTGGGGATTCCCCCACTCAGCGCACAGACAATTGCCAAAATAATCATTAAATGTGTCATTCGGTGTTTTGGTTATTGTTTACTGCGCCACTTAGAGCGCAATAATTATTAATTAAACAGTAAAGTGTCGTTGGACATTAAGCAGATCATTTGTGGAAGTCGTCTAAAAGACAAAGGTTATTTAACAACTTCATAAAGTATTTTTAAAATTATTCTTGGGAAATATGATAGATAAAATAATCTATAGAAATATAAGTTTTATTTTATTATTATTATATTATTGTTATTTATGATATGATTTTGTAAATTAATATTCTTTACAATTTATATTGCTAAATCAAACCATTTTCATTCTTAAATTTATAATCCTTATAACTGATATCATCTGCTCAGATTACTAAACCTGAACCTAACCCAATCTACGCACTTTGTGGAATTTGTCCTATCCAAAAGTCGGCTCTTTTGTCCATTTTGGTTTATCTCTTTTTGTCGCATCCCATAAAAACCACCGATTAAATGGAATTCAAAGGGGGAAGGGAGCTAACTTGGCTAAGAATGACGGCCATGCCGCCCACAACTGCAATGCTTGCAGGCGGCACAGCTTGAAATTTTCACACGTTCGGCCCGAGGTTTATTTCCACTCTCCGTGGGTTTCTCTACGGGCCACGTCACGGATTCTACCCTTCACAATGAATGCACAGTTAAAATCACAGGATAATATCATGATTTTATGATATTTTCTTTACTCGGAATTTAAGATTTAAAGCCAAATTCTTTTAATGATAGTCTGTGTTTTTTTATTTTTACTTTCCAAATCATTTTTAGAATTAAAAACCCATGTTACCTTTTATCAAGATCAAAATGTATATGCCACTTTTTCTCACCGTGTGCCTGTTATTGGGCACGCAGTTGGGATTAATTTACGACGGCAATTGAAAGTGTCGAAAGCGGTTGTGCTGGAGGGGTGTGTTGATGGTCCGAAGGGCGATCTAACCTCCACAAAATCCAACCCCGCCGATCCCCAATCAATTTCCACCTGTTAGCCTGCATTCGCAGGTGAGTAAGTTGAAAATACGTAGAAAAAACCCCGAAAAGGGAAACCGCCAAAACCAGCGAGCAAACAAAGGCGTATCAACAGGAAAATGTGCATAAAACTCGGCCTGATAAGGCGGATTAGAGCCGCCAAAAGGAAAGGGGGGTAAATGGAGGTAACTGGGAGCTGGAGTTTTCCCAGTTAAACCATGATATTGGTAATATGTGTTAATCAGTTGGTAGTTTGGTATTTTTATTACCCAGGTTCTGATAGGCCACAACCACCAGCTAGTTCTTGGAACTTGTGACTCAGCTAAATATTCAATTTCATCATTAGCCGAAGCCCCGAAAGTATGCCTCGAAAGCTGATTAAAACAAAAACAATTTGGTATAATAAATATATTCCTATTATCTGTTTAATTAATTAAGCACTTTTATGAAATATTGGTAAAAGGATTAGAAGCAGGATCTAAGAACTGTTTTAATTTAAGCCTAAGTTTATGTAAAGTTTAAAGCAAAAGAAGAGTATAAAAGTGATCAAAATAGGTACATAAATCTTTAAACGTAATATATTTAATCATTTTTATATTCATATTCAAATTCTACATTTAAATATGACAAAAAATTCTAGTAGATTAATAAGTCACAATAATTAGTGAGTATAAATATTATTTAAAATCTTTAATAACTACACCATTTAAATTTAAAAATATAAATAAAAGTAAGGCGTTTCTATAAAAGACAGACCAGTAAAAAGACTCAGCTACTTAAGCTTAACTGCACGGAATGCGGAATCTATAACGGTGATTGGTGGTGACATTCTGACAGGACTCTAGGTGTTATTCATATTATAAAGTGCATTTTCGTGCTTTTCTTAATTCCATACTACAATTATTATTCATATTTTTAAGCGCAATTTTATGTTTATTATATTACCTGTCACCAAGGCAAAGAGCGTCACCAGAACCAACAAAGTCCAACTGCACTTGATGTACCACATTTTGCAATAAAATTTAGCTTCTTTTTTTAATAATAGCACACTCTGCACTCAAATTGTCTGATGTCAGTTATAATTTAAGCCAGCTGCAAGCGCTTTTGGCAACTTTTAGCAAAACTTTTCACACTGCAAACTGAACACTGAACGTGGAGCCTGGGAACTGGAAACTGAACCTGGGAGTGCTAAGGTGAGCTGCCACTTGTTGATCGGAGTCAGATGCTCTTCGCTGCGAATTGCCAGCAAACTGTGGTCGACCAGCGGCTTTTATAGCATGCTCCTGGCACAGGCACTTTACGTCCGGAGAACGCAGATAACGGGACGGCCCATACGAACGGAAGTCTCCGAACGTGGAGCCTCCAAGCCGAAGAAACCCGAGCGCAGCCGAAGCGCACCCAATGAACCAATGAGCGGTGAGATGGAGGCGCCCACGCAACAGGCTGCCGTACGGCAAGGGTTAAGGGGAGGTCAACGGGGCTATCATGTTAATGGAACGAGGGGTGGTACTGTGGGCAGCGTGTACTTGGGGACAGAAGCGGCATCAAGGGGATCGGCATATAAATGAGTTCAAATTATGATAAGTGTTCTAAATAATATTTTCTATCATTTTATTTTTAAGGTATTATTTAATTCGGAATAAAATAAAATTTTTAGAATTTAAAATCTATCGAAAGCAGAAACTTTCAAAGAATTTATTTAAAATATTTAAATAACTAAATAAATGTAAGTCATTAAACTGTAAACATTATTATTTATTAGGTTGTATTAAAAGGGACTAATTTTCATAACAGTTTTATTTAGACAATTCATTATTGTCTAGAAAAAACTAAGGTTAAGTCCACCCCTTTAACTACACCCTTGTGCCAGAAGAAAAAGCCAAGCTATAAAGTCAATGCAGTTGCTGGACCCACACGCAAGCAACGCAAGTTCATTTTGTGGTCAACGATGGACTTAACTTTTAATTACCGATGGAAAAAGTTGCGTCGTACCTGTAAAATGTTTTAGCATCCTGTTTTTTATTCAAATATATTTCTAAATTGAGAAAAGAGATTTTAAATTAACCAATAAAAAATGTGTCTCCCGTACAGTCAGCAACAAAATCGAATCTTCTTCGTAATAGTTATCCAAAATATCTTATTTAAATATAAAACTCAAAGAAAGTTAATTTTTAAAATATTCATTTAATATTGGCTGTCCTTACAATAAATCTGAATTTAGTGTGATTTTTGCCGTCGCGTGGCTGATTTGTCATTGAGGTGAGATTCTTGCCTCTTGAGTGTTCCTACGATACATTCTTGTTGTGTGCATGAGTGCGCGGCTTGGTAGTGTGTCAATTAGCTACCAAACAAACATTTCATTTGTTACGTGAGGTTTAAGTATAATCATTTAGTTTCGAACGCAATTGGAGCAAATATTATGGGTCTACTGCGGCTCCAGAATGCAGCAAGCCAGAGGGAAACAAGACATGTGTGGGTGTGGTGGTCCTGCTTCCAGTGTGTCAAGTGTATGCGGTGAAATTCTCATCTACTAGGTGCATCCTTATTCCAGCTTGGCCAGGATATCGCCCTCGCGGAACAGCAAATACTCGCTTTTGTCGTCCATGTCCACTTTGGTGCCGCCGTATTTCGGGAGCAGCACACGGTCACCCTCCTTGACGCCTATGGCCAGGTGACCAGCACCGGCCGGGTTGCGAGCACCCGGGCCGACGGCCACCACAACGCCCTGCATCTCCTTGGGCACTGACTCCTCTGGCAGCAGGATGCCGCCGGCAGTGGTGGTCTTCACCTCGAAGCGCTTGATTAGGATGCGGTCCAGCATCGGAATCACCTTCTTAATCACGTTCGACATGGTCTTCATTGGTGCTTTCTTTGTTGTCGAACAGAGTGTGCTTGAAAGAAGCACTAGGATTGAAAATAAAAATTAAATTTTTATTATTTTTCTCACAGAAACAGTTGCACTTTCACACTTTACCTCAAGTTATATTTTTTTAGTTTTTTTTTTAATTTTTTTATTTGTTTTGTGGTTTTGTTAGGCTGTGGATGCTTTCCGTTTGAATCAAAGATGTAGACTGAGCTTGTAAGAGCCTGGTTAGAACTAGTACGACTGGCAGGGAAAGAAAAGTCAAGGCTATAGTGATTAAAATTGCTTTTTTCAAAGGTTACTCGGATCGAAAAATATGTGTTTTTTAAAGAGTATACAGATGATGAATTTTATAGTATTAAAGTCGTCTGGGAGGGTTTGGAAGCATCATTTGGTTTTATAATTAATTTATATTCATATTTAAAAAGAATATATCTATATAATTTTGTACTGCAGCTTATAAATTCTTCAAAACTTGCAAGTGACGGCAGCACTGCGTATACGTAATTTCTTGTCGCCCAGCCAAGTTTGCTCATCTTGAGTCAAGTTTAGCACGTGAATCACGAGACGTGAGAAGCAAATTAGGTAAATCAAGCACACAAAACAGAGCGAAAACCGCAAAAACAAAGCCCAGACGCTAGTAATCATTTTGGAGCGAAGCAGACGCCATAAACAAGGTCCACTCTAGCGATGTTTTTGATTCATTTCGCACACTGCCGTCATGCGCCACCTGTTGGCAGCTTGCCTCACTCAGTGCTAGGGGGTGGTGGTGGTGGTGGTGCCGTCCTTGTCGCTCTCCCTGCTTCCTTACGCCTGTTTGTCTGTCTGTCTGTTCGTTTTGCGGCTTCCTTATTTGTGTGGCAGTGGGTGTTCGTGTGTGTGTGTGAGTCCGTGGGCTTGCGTTTGTGTTTGTCTAAACTTGTGGCGTGTTAAATGCCGTTAGAAATTTTGTTTGGCTTTACTTTTGCTTGAGTACCTCATTATTTGTTGCTTTAGAAGGGTATATAGGTGTTTGTGCAGGTTGAAGCCGTAATATATGTACTTACTATATACTTTGGAAGTAGGGATATATCTATAAAACGAAACTAAAGGCACACACGGGACCACGAGGTGGTGGTAACTTATCGCTTTATGTTTTGTATAGACCTTAGAATTCCCAACCGGGTTTAGCGTAGTCTAAAAATACCTGGAAATAAAAACTAACTTAATTAAACTTAAAACTAATTATTACAAAAATCAAGGCCTTGAGTCTAGAAAACAAATAAAATAAAATAGTTTCTTTATTTTTTATGTAGAGTATCAGCAACACCTGAAATTTATTTCTACGAGAAAGGAAGGAAGGAAATCATTGTTTTTTTAACCTTCTTTAAAGTAATTTAAACCTTAAAATGTATTAATGTTATTTACTAAATTAAAACTCTATTTAGTAATGATAGCAACATAGTACTCTGCCATTCGAGCTGTCCAGAAGCTTACCTTTTTTCCTACTTGTCTTTTTTCGCAGAGCCTTCCCCCGCTGATTTGGTCGTAAATCACAAACTTCATAATTTCTACGTCATTTTGCGGGCGTGCGAACGCGTGGCTTTAGCTTGTTGGCTCTGAGTGAATTCCTCCTTCCCGCAGCTATACGTGACGTTGGCAAAACAAATCGCTTTTGTTTTTAGCCATCATCCTACTCCGTTGTTTTTGCCTGTTTGCTGTTTGCTCCTTTATGGCCCGCTGCGCTTTGGACTTTGGACTTTGACGCATTTGCGCCGTATTAATTCTGGATCCATCCGTGCAATTTCAGTGAACTTTCCACCTTTTTCTTCGGGAACTCCTTTTTGGTCTGTGGTTCGCTGGCCTCCGCTTCCATTTGGCTGATTGCATTTTCATAACAATTTGCAGGATTACTAATGCGCCACGTTGGCCCTGCATTTGCATGACCTTGAGAACCAGAGAGAGAGCCAAAGCAGCTCATTAGAATTTCATTTGTAGTCAGCCAGCGGCAGACGATGGAATCGATAAACCCCAAATGTATTTTATGGCCAAATTAGAATTTCTAGAATCCTTAGGAAGGCCAAGAAACTGTGGAACGTAGGCGGGGACGCGGAATATGCTAAGCTTTATTTTTGGAATAATTTGCAACACATCAAAGTAATCCTTGAAGGCATCCTTAGGACATATACACATAATATACACATAAATATCTGTTAAGTAAGCGAACTAGGTCCGTCATTAGAATTGAGTTGGTTACTGATTCAAGTTATTTATAAACGCTTAAGGCTTATTTCTTATCATTAGAGTGTTTACATATTTTCCTACATAAATATGAATATTATAGAATTATTATAGAATTGTAAGGTAAGCTTTTTTGGAATCTTTTTGGTTAAAAGAATTACTAATTTTAGCTTTTTCTTAATTAAAAATAGTATTTAAATTTCAATTTAGTATTTCATTGGAAAAAGTGTAGTTTACATTTTAAATTTTATAATAGACACTTTGTTTCAAGTCTCGAATATTTGTCTGAGAATAATTTATTGGTTCGTTGTTTGTTTTTAATAAAGATTTATATATATAAAAGGTGGGCGTTTCACTAGGTGATTTAATTATATTGTATCATTTGGAAAATTTACAGAAAGCTATTATTACCTCCTCTGGCTTCTTACATATTTAAGAGTACGTCTCCCAGCGTTTAACTAACAGAGACTTGCAGCCGAGACTATTCTTACACTAAATAATTCTGAATACTTGAAAGACTAGTTCAGGCATACGTATATATACATATATTCGCCCGATTCAGGTTCGTTTTCCCATGCGGCATGAATGGAAACTTAATGTTTAAGAGTTAGAGAGAGAAGAGAGGTCGCGATTAACGTCTAATTGCCCGTCAGCAGCTTATACTAAACGCTTTGGTAAGAATCCGGCCTGGAATTAGCATCAGGAAGTTCGTTGTTCAGTTGTTCTGGGCACTGAGCACCGCATACTGCGAGGCGACTTGCGGCTTGGCCAGCGCCAGGCGATCGTTTAGAGGGTTCTGGCGGGTATCGAAAGCTATATTTATTATGGGATTTCCCCAGGCATTAAGGGATGCCTTGCCTGCACTAGAGTTTGCTTTGGCTGCTGCTCCGCTGAGTCAATAGAGACGCGCTGCGTCTGACTGGAGTTGGTTAAGGCTCTTCGCAGACGACGTGACTCGATGTTGTTCCGGGAGTTGAGTGATCCCTTGGAGACCTTCTTGCCAAAGAGCACGACCTGGAAAAGGATAATGGTGAGTAAGTTGTATACAATAATTTAAGAAATATATATTTATTAAATTTAAATTAACTTATAATTTAATTTAAACTAAACTCTTTAATTTTAAAATTTGTCTCTACTCACTTTGAAGGCCTCTCGGAACTTTTTACTCATCAAGTTGTACAACAGCGGATTGATGCAGGTAGACAGGTAATAGAGCACTCCGGAGATATAGGTCATTACCGTGTAGACGAACTCGTGCTGGTCCCTTAGGTCAGCCCCACGAGCTGGGGCATAGATGGCAATCAGGCGCTGGGCATGGAAGGGGGCCCAGCAAAGGAAGAAGCACACCACCACGGCCACTGCAGAGAGGACGATGATGATGTAGATGGTGTTTTGGGTTCAAATTCGGGTTCGGGCAGACGCAGCGAGAGCACAGAGATAAAGAGTCAACGATTATATTTTTGGTAATCGCAATTGTCATCATAAATGGCAAATGCCGAAATGACAAACGCAATAAATTGGACGCAGACGGGTTGATTAGTGTGCTTAGAGGCATATGGCCAAACAGTTAGAGTACACTTCAATTCAAAAGGTGTCCTTGAAATTAATTAGGCAAAAATATAATGTAATAAATTTTTTATTTGGATAACATAAGATGTTTAACGTATTGCTGTTTATATTCATGGCTTCTATATATGTATATATTATTATATAATATAGTAATTCACAACTAAAGATTCTGCAACATAGATCATAGCTCATTGCCGAATATAAGGGAAATAAAATATACATATATCCCCCTAAGAGTTTTTTTTAGTTATTTCTTTAAAAGTTTTTACAGAAGAGATAAGGGATATTATAGAATTATTCAAGGCAACTAATATTTATTCATCCACTTGATATTTATTTACTTTAACCCCCCCATAATAATCCCCAATTTCTCGCAGTGTACTTGCCAAATTACCAAAGCTTAGCCATATAATTACCGAGCATCCTGAGCACCCGCCGGGTACCATAGTGATTGAGGCGACCCCTCACCGAGCTGAGCTGTGCCCCCGAGCCACCCACTGCTGCTGCTCCAGATCCGGATCCGTTGAGATTCATGGCATTGCTGGAGCCCGCATAGCGGTACAGGATCGTATCACTGGGCACGCTCTTCAGCTGCTGGCGTCGGGAAACCAAAGCGGGACCATCGATCCGGCTAGAGCGGTACAGGTGCAGGCCAATCAAGAGGTACAGAACCAAGATAATTGACATCGGGGCCAGGAAAAAGATGAAAGTGGAAAGCTGGAACGAGTGCTTCACTATAATGCGAACAATGCCGCATTTGACCACGCCGTCATCGGCGAAGATCCCAAACTGGGCGGCTTGTGGAATGGCTGTTATTATGGCCAATAACCAAATCAACACAATAATCCTGGTGGCCCGACTAAGTTTGCTCATGGCCTGTCCCAAAAAGGGATGGCAAATGGCTATGTAACGCTCCACGGTGAAGGCGGTAATGGTGAGTACTGTGGCATTTGCCGCAGTCTCGGCCAGCAGACCCCTGCCAATGCAGACGTATTCGCCGAAGACGTAAGGATATTTGGACCAAATGAAGGCCACCTCCTGGGGCACACCAGAGAGCAGGAGCAGGAAGTCAGAGATGGCCAGGGAGAAGAGATAGTAGTTGGTGGCCGTGTGCATCGAGCGGTTCTTCTTAATCACAATGCAGGTGCTGATGTTGCCCACCACGCCGCTGACAAAGATCAGAGAGTAAACCACGGTCACGGGCACCACAATTCCTAGGGGATCTCGCGTTGGCCCCAGGATCTGGCTGACATTGCCCGCCGGATCGGAGACGGACATGTCGGCGTCGGGGATTTTTGGGATTTTTCCCCTTTTGTTTTCACAAAATTTCCACTAACAGCGCTAAATTCCGGTGTCGCTTAACTCGGCTGCTGTGTGTCCCCTCAACTATGCTAATTATAATAATTTATTGGCGACAACCGGGGCACAGAGGAGGGGAAGGAGGAGGAGGAGGTAGAGGCCCGTTGAGATTTCTCGACTCTTGATTCTCGATTCGATTCCTCGGTTCTCGATTCGCGATTCTCGACTCCGGACACCGAATACCCCGACTGGCACGCAAACGCACCAAATTACCCGGCACCGCCGATTCCGGGGGGGCGCGACTCTGTGTCTCAATCCAAATCGAAGCTATCGAAGCTATATCCCGCGAGTATCGAGCAATGAGCAACTGCAACCGCACTCCAGCGCGCTCCGAACTTATCTGATAAGCCGCGGCGACAGTTCATTCAGATTTGTATCTGAAATGAAAGCCAGCGACGAAGCCTCGCGTTTTCCCCTCACATGAGAGTGTGTTGTCGGAAGGTACGCGACATGGCTGTAATGCGGTGAACGTGCTGCGGCAATTATCTATCTTGATTGTGGAGTGGAGACAACCGAATTTTGGATACAACGCAAATGTTGAAACTACTTAACTTTAATTAGCAAAACAAGCTTTAATTATATATATTTTTTAAACCATTTTTAAGCTAAAACTAGTTTTATTTAAATGGTGAGACGTGCTGGAATTTTAAGAGAAGTTTGTATAAAATACTTGAGCAAAAGACAACATTACGTATGCGTGATATGTTATTGGAGGCTCATTATGGTTATATCATTAAATTCAAATAAGTACCAACAAAGTAATTAGCATTTTCTGTAGCCATTATTAAAGTCAAAGAGAATTATTTATTTATAATATATTCAAATGAAATATAGCTAAGACATGATTACAATTTATTATATATTTTAAGGATCCTTAAGTTCTAGTTTCCCTTATGAAACCTATTCACCTTTCTAGACCTACGCGCACCTTCCTGCCGTCTTATTTACGCTGTCGTGTGTGTATTTTGGCAACAATATCTCATAGTGGCTATGGAGCAGCACAGTTGCCTCGGGACATTAGCCACTGGGTGCCAACAAAAACAACAGGCAAGAGCTACTAACTTGGCCGAATGCGTTTCGCGAGTGCCTCTGTTTGCGGTTCGACGGTTCTCGGTTCTCGGGTATCAGGTCTCGGGTCCCCCGTCTCCGGTCTCCGTACTCAAGACACTGGCTAGTTGTCGCATGTCCCACGCTGTCAACGAGTGACATTCTCTATGGCCACATAATATTCATATTTTCATTCATTTGTTTCGTTCCGTTTAGCACTATGCTAAGTGACAAGGATGGGGGCTAGCTGGTTATCGGCCATAACCCGACCCGAAGACCTACACACGCCCCTTAAGACGAGTGTCAAAGGGCGTGCGGTTCCGGTGGGGTTTTGTCACGGTTGCCAAGCTTTTGCCGTGCAGCTTCAAAGCTTTTGTCGACGGGCGGGAAAATCCAAGGAAAAGCCCATCAATCAACGCCACTGGGTGATGAATGAAAGCTCAAGGGCTACAGCGCCAAGGAAATTCCAAGACGGGTAGGTCAGAAGAGTTTAAAAGATTAAATCATAAGTACAGCTATTTAATTAAATGAAACCCATTTATTTTATTTAAACCATTAAATATTTTGTATTTATTTAGGTTTCTTCAAAAGAAGCTGAATATCTTTTTAGCACACATATAGATCTTATAAATACTTTTCCTCTCAGGGAATTGCAATATTGTTTTTTCATAATTTTCGATTAGCTTATAACACATTCAACATTTAATAAATGTATCTCAAATTTTGAATATTAAAGTAATGTTCTTCAAAAGAATATATATATTTCAAAGATAGCTCAGGCTTCCTACCCACGCACCTTTATCAAATTATTTCACATTTAAAAACTTTTCTCAAAAATGCTCTTAAGTCTCTAAGGATTAAAATTTATATCAGATTATGGCTTGTTATATTATTTGAACATTTACTTAAGCTACCAGCCTCTTTTCGCAAAACTCGAAACCTCCATTTTGATGCATTCACTTCTTCGCTTTTCTAGTTGCTATTAAAAGATCGACATTCTGGATTAATATACTATATATTGACTTGGACAACACTCAAAGAAATATTTATAGACGACTATATTCTTGATGAAGTTTGTTTAAACTTGGCTGGGGATTTCAAATCAACTGCAAGGACGTCAAAAAGTAGGTTATACAACTTTTTGATGCTATGTTGATACCTCAAATCCCCAGCCATTTCTGTGGCATCACTGGCAGAAATTCTACTTATGGTCCATAAAAATGTAAGTCTAGAGTTTAAGCTCATGTTTTGGCTTGTTGGTATTGTTGGATAGAATGGATTCACTAAAGTAATAATCAGAAGTCAAAGTACAAGTTTTAATATTATTGGATCGAGTATAAAATAGCCTCAGAGTTGTGCTCTTTGAATCATAATTGAGATGGACTTCGGGTGGGATGTACACTGTACTTGTACTTGTACTGTAATATTTGGCTTCTGTTCTTAATGGATCTTAGAGTTGCGTTCGAAGGGCAAAGGTTAAAACGTAAATCTAAGCTTTCACCTGAAGAGTTTTTCTCACAGTTTACTGGGTTTTTGATTAGTTAGTTATCAAAAATGGTATAGACTTAGCTAAGCTGCCTCATATTCCACAGGTTGAACAGGACGTCTAAACCACAATATCGATTATCTCAGATTCGTCATCGTCGTCGAACTGGTCGTCGTCCTCCTCCCGCCTTCCCCAGTTGTTGTGGCGGAGTCTGGTTCCAGTCCGTCAGTGAATGTACCTCTCCTGCTATAGCAGCACCTGCTTCATTTGCGGCCTCTGACGCTCCATAATCTTTTCAGCCTGCTCCGTGTCCAGTCCATCGATGGAGCAGGCAATCAGCTCTACCAGATTGTGACCATGGCGCAGAATATGATGGATTGACTGCAGCGTCAGCTTGGAGCAGTTGCTCAAGTTGAGAATCCTCAAACGCTTTAAATTCACCACGATATTCCGCACCGTGTCATCGTCCACAGCCATGCAGCTGGACACGCACAGAGCCTCCAGCGATGGGCAATTGTGGGTGATGGCCTCGAAGCCCGCTGGCTGAAATCGTGAGCAGTAGCCCAGGGAGAGAGCACGAAGCTCGGGAAGCTTCAAAGCGTGTTTCAAGGATCGATCTGTGAGATTGCGACACCCCCGAAGGTTCAACTCCCGCAATCCCTTCAATCTACTGATGGGATAAGGAGTGGCCCCAAAGCCCATCAGGCCCTGATCCGTGATCTTTACGCAATAATCGATGTTGAGGTTCCTCAATCGTGTTTGGTACCTGACATGGAGTAATCATTGATTAAGATTCTTGTAATAATTTTGAATAAGGCAGTAATCCTCACCTGCAAATGGCTGACATGGTAACATCCGTCACCGCCTGCCTGCAGTTGTCCAAGCTGAGACGCTGCAGGTTGGGCAGCCGCTCTAGCAGCTCGCACATGGAGTTCTCGTCGATGAAGCACACCTCCTCCAAGTGCAACTCCTGCAATGCATAGTTCATGTGCTGCGCCAGACCCTGGACCAAGCCCACCCCCGTCAGCTCCCGGCAGTAAGCCATGGTCAGGACCTCCAGCTGACCACTCAGTTGACGAAGGGCGTCGATACAGCTGGCGTTGAGCTGGACGCAAAACATGAGATCCAGCACTTTTAGGGTGTGCTTCCACTTGCCAGCAATGTAGAGGAGCAGTTCGTTGGTCAGGGACAGCATTCCGGTAAGGTCAAGCTGGCGCAGCGGTGCTGATTCCGGCACAGCCCTGATGACGGCATCGAGCAGCATCAGATGGCAGTTCCCAGAGAGCTTGAGGGTGCGTAGATTCTCCATAGACTCGAAGGCCTGGCACCACTCTCGCGTTTCGATGCCGGGTGAGCAGCTGAAGAAGATGTCCACCGACTGCAGTGTGTCCGCATGATCTCGGAGCACATCCAGCAGGGCTGTCTCGTTGTTCCTGCGGTACTCAAACTGCAGGTTCCGCAGGTGCACCTTGTTCTCCGCCCGACGCAGCTGGAGGAGCATGAGCAGCTTCAGCGATGAATCCAGGCTTACTCCATCGCACTCGAAGCCCACCAAATGGCTGAACTGCTTCATATTCAAACCGTCCACGGCTCGCAGCTGCTGATCATCCATGGAACTGGTGGTGGCAATTGTCAGCATCTTCAGGTTTGGCATCTTGCCGTCCAGATTTCGGAATACAGGTGCATGCCGCATCTGCAGGTGCCTCACCTCAGCACCCACCAGCTTGAGAAAGTTCTCTAGTTGGCGACATTGGCGCAAGTTTCGCAGTTCAATTCTCTCAAAGCTAAGGTAGGAGTTTCCGCCCTTCACGTGCTTGTGAAGCGCCTCCAGGTTGTGCTGCGTCACAATCACCTTTCCCTTCTCCATGAAGCGGCGCCGGCTAACCAGTTCTCGGCAACGCCAGGACACCATACGCAGCTGTTGCAGATCGTTGTAGGAGAGATAGGATATGATCTCTAGCCACATCTCATTGGGCAATAGCTCGATGGGCGCCAGTGGGGATTCCTTATCCGCATCCAGCTTTTCTGGTGTAAGTGGAGGCGGAGCCGTTGGAGTCGTAGCCAGCGAGCGGGCCAAAGCTAGCAAAGGATTCATCTTTAGGTCTATTTTATCGTGATTCTGGAGGAAAGAAAATAATCAATTACTTAGAGGTTCCAAAGGAAGATAAGATATCTAGGAAAAGTAGGTGCAACCATGGCAACGCTTTTCACCTGCAATCCAGATCCTCCCCCTAAACAGTTCGATGACCCAATGACCACCTGTTTCCCTCCCCCAGCTGGATTTAAACTTCGTTGCCAAGGTTGGCTAACTGCAGTTTTCCACCACTGCCGCAATGCATTTCCCTTGCATTTTCCCGGGACAACTCACCTGAGCGTAGCTGCAGCTCAGCCTCTCAAAGAATCGCCTCTCCCGGCGTTGACTCGGTTTTCCACTCGTTATCAGATTGTTACCCATGCAGCAACTCAATTAAAAAACTGGCATTTAATGAGGAGTCGGAAAATTCTCTATCCGTCGTCTGCTTTTTATGAGTTGTTTTTCTTGGAATTATTTATTTTTTACTTGTTACCACTTTTTGTGGTTACTTGTCATGTATATTTTTTTTATTATTTAGGATTAACTTTTTTTTTTGAATTACCAAATATTGAGAACTTTATTTGTGCTATCCAGTATTTTTATAAAGAACTTTTTTCTGTTATTACTTTTCACTCTATTTGATACTCTCTTCTTATGCTTTTGTGCCTTTATACTTTGATTTGCTCACTTTGAATATTACTTCATTATTTATTTTTGATATTACGATAGTCAACACAACTTGACAGCTTGCTATTTATAATTATTTTCCAACATTGAAAATTAAATATTTGATTTGTGCTTTTGTTAATGTTTTCCTTAGGCTTGTGATCGAATCTTTTCTTTGTTTTTTGCTTCCGCAAAACACTTTTGCGTATTGTCGGAGTATTTTTCAATAAATTCCTTGCTGTTTTTCCTGATTTTCCAGGTTTTTCCTCTCCAATTTGACAGCAACCTGCTGCCTGCCGCTGGTCGGGGTTACAAAATCCAAAATACAAATGTGAATTTTCCCGACGAACGAAAACAAACCACTCGCAGGGAGCACAGCTGTGTATCTAACGACCAAATTTGTTTGGCCGGGGTCACAGATACAGGTACAGTGGAGCCATGTTAATAACAGAATTGAAGGGAATGTAAAGGAAGAATAAATGATTAAATAAAGTAATAATAAAGTACACAAAGGCTTATTTATCAGTTGCACATTTAATATTTTCTAAACTGTTATTAAATAAAGTAAATTAATAGCTGATTATTTATTGTTACTATTTCTAAATAATTTAGAATGTAATATTTTTTCCTTGTATCCAGTGTGTACTGTACCTTCACTTCCCCAGCAAGCACTCGGAAGATCGCAATCATCTTGAGGAGTCATTTTCGAGTCATTGAAAGGATTAAAAAAAGATTTGTCTTATGCGCGACTAATAAATGACTCGAAAATGACTCCAAAAAGAGTCGTAAGTTACCTCTAAATACGATTTATAAAATAGCAAAGCAAAATTGAAAAGCAATCGAAAATTGATCATCCGGATGATTGAAATGAGATTATTTATTGCTTTGCATTTACATTCGGTCAGAGAGCTTGGAGAGCCTAATCGCGCGTTCTCCTTTTTACCTGCATTCTTGTGTCTGCCTTAAACGGTACTTTTCACAAAATTTGAATCGTTTGCTCTTATGTTCTGCATTTTTAAACTAAGTTTTAGTAATTTGTTAAGCTTAGTGAGAATAGGTAATGTGTGCCAAAGATCGTGCATCAAGAAGAAGGCGATTGGAATACTTAAGTTTTTAGTGATATTATTTGTTAAATTTGAATTATTATTATTTCATATAAAAATATATATACCAATAAAAAATAAAGCAACAAAATATTATGGAATATTTAATTTATTTTCACTTCTAATATGACTCGAAGAAGAGTCCCTAATTAGTATTAATGGGAGTCAAAAATGATTCCCTTATTGCTACAAATATGCCTTTCAAACGATCAAAATTCGATTCAAATAGGACTCGAAAAAGAGTCCCCTCTTGGCAGAAGGAGGAGTCGAAAACGACTCTTCCAGAAGAGTCGCGGCTAGGGGTCCATTTTCTCCCGAAGGCAGCGTCATTTATGATCAGAAAAAGAGCGCATATATGCTCATTTTAATCAGCAAGAGGAGTCGAAAATGACTCGAATTCGATCAGAATTTTCATAAAATGCTTGCTGGGTCTGCGTAAATAATTTCGTTTAACACGCATGCCCTCTCTCAGACACGCACACCACTACACCTTCCCTAAGGGCCGCTCTCTTTTAGTATCTGTGTCTCTCTCTCCCGTTTTGTTTATGTTTACTGCTGCTTGTGACCCACTTATGAAAAACAACAACAAAAACCCAACAAGGGCGGCCTTGATTTCGAGAGAGTAATGTGTAAAAGAGAACCAAGAGAACCACTTACATAGATAACACTTACATTTGGATTACATCAACTTACTCACAAGTTTGTGCAGTGTAGACAGCCCTCGCACTTCAAATTCAAAAGGGGTATTCTACTACGCACCATTGAAATTACATTAATTCGAGTACAATGCAACTTACTGAAGATACATTCTATAAATTGTATTATAGATCTGTATATTAACAATTTCACAATTAAGGAACTTAGTAACTACCATACCTTATCTACTATCAAACATTGAAACATATAAAATAAACCAATTAATTTTCTTAATATTTCTAGCTCTAAAAACTACCTGTACCAAATAGACTTTCAAACTTCCTTGATAGAAATCTTTCTAAAATTATCAAGTTTAAGGACCCGGCAATTAAGTCGACACTACTAGCTGAGGAATTACGCCATGCACCCAGGGTCTCGAATGCAAATCCTATAATTAAGAAAGCAATTATAATCAATTGGTTGATTGCAAATCGAAAGATATTACGAGTAAAGGATTGGATTTTTTTATTCCCTTGCAGGATATCATAATTTTAGTTAGAAACTTGTATGTATATTTTTTATCAACATCAACAGCGATGTCGATTTAGACAAGACACATTTTTTTAATAAGTTTAATAAGCAGATTTTTTTATCTGAGAAAAACTAGCAAAGAAAATCTTCCTGAATTGAAATTAATAATTTGTTGGCTGACAAAATTATATTTCTAAACATTTATTTTCCCAAAAAATAATTATCAAAATGTCGATTAAAAGTGTATATATTTTTGTGCATTTTGTTAAGCTCTATAAGTCAAAAAGCGAAAAGTCTTATGTATCTCGATTCGCCAAGTTACCCCACCGATCAGGCACCCGCAATTAAAAATCCAAACTGCCAAGGACTCAACAATTATGCCTATAATTATAGAGCTTATCCGTATATATAAGATTTCTCCGACGAAGCAGAAGCCACTAAGAAAACCAAAGTAAGTTAGCCACGACGATGAAGACAACGGAAATTATAAATCCTTATCGGATGGAGGACTTTCTGCGGCCGCAGTGGTTCCAGAAGATTGCGTGCATGGTGCACTTTCAATGGCAAAGGAACCCGGAGAACAACCGTCTGGTTAACGCCTCCATGGGAGGCTTCATCATGTCGGCTTTCCTCAACGTCGTATTCTTCGGCAGCAACTGCTGTGACATCATTGGGCATTTGTGGCTGGGCTCAGCGTCGAATCTGAATCCTTCCGTGTTCAGCATCACCATTTACTTCTCCATCCGCGGACTGATGCTCTACCTGAAGCGGCGGGAAATCGTGGAGTTTGTCAATGAATTGGATCAGGAGTGCCCACGCGACTTGGTCACTCAGTTGGACATGAAGATGGATCAAACATACCGCAACTTTTGGCAGCGCTATCGCTTCATCTGGTTCTATTCTCATGTTTGTGGACCAATGTTCTGCTTGATGCCCGTGTGCTTCTTCCTGCTGAGCCACGAGGGTAAAGATGTTCCGGTTTCCCAGTTCGAGCAACTCCTAGGCGGCTGGCTGCCTTGGGGTTTGCGAAGGGACCCAAGATATTATTTTCTGGTCTGGTTCATCGATGTGGCCTGCACCATTTGTGGTGTCTCCTTCTTCATTACCTTCGATAATCTTTTTAATGTGATGCAGGGTCAACAGCTAATGCATCTCAACTACCTTGCTCGGCAGGTCGAAGATCTCGATCCCCGCCAGAGTGTGAGCAATGAGGCGGCTTTCTTCTCGGTTCTGAGGAAGTTGGTAAAGAGACAGCAGCTCCTCAATGGACTGTGTGAAAGGTCAGGGTATAATTTTTGGTTTAATTTAGTCAATAAAATATTTTATAAATTATTTTGCAGATATAATGAAATCTTCAAGGTTGCCTTTCTGGTGAGTAACTTTGTGGGCGCTGGTTCCCTCTGCTTCTACCTCTTTATGCTGTCGGAAACTTCGGATGTACTGATCATCGCCCAGTACATCCTGCCTACCTTTGTCCTGGTGGCCTTCACTTTTGAGATTTGTTTGCGTGGCACACAGCTGGAGGAGGCGGTGAGCCTTAGTTGGGCTTAGATCAGGGATTATATTTATTATTTTAACATGTTCTTTACAGTCGGAGAGGCTGGAGCTGGCGCTTAGTCGCCAGGACTGGTATTTGGGCAGCCAGAAGTACCGGAAGTTCTTCCTGCTCTGGATGCAGTATGCCCAGCGAACACAGAAACTAGGTGCATTTGGTCTAATCGAAGTGAATATGGTGCACTTTACCGATGTGAGTAATCTTACGAAATTGGATTTTTACATAACAAATTTCTCTGATTTACAGATCATGCAGCTAGCCTACAGATTGTTTACTTTTCTCAAATCACATTAGATTCAATTCCCACTTCTTATTATCTAAATATTTTATCTTTTCTGTATTGCTTAACAATAAGTATTATTAAACCCTAAAAAGGAGTTACAAAATATAATTTAAATATTTATTAATATTACTAATTCACAAGTCGTACGTAAAATTCGTTTAGACTGGCATTCCTTTCAATTTCACAATTATACCTGCACCAAAAAAATCGATAAGTAAAAGCTTTAATTATAATAAAAACAATCCCAAAGGCACGCCGGTACTTAAATTAATTACGGTTGAAGTTGAGACCATAAAAATCTGTTTCTGGCTGTGGTCACTCAGTTGCCTTATAAAAGGATACCCGTCCGGATCATGGCCTCGCCAAGGCGCGTCCTCCAGCTGGGATTCATCTGGTTTTGCAATTTAAACGGACTCACCACCTTCAGCTTCTCCTCGGGAAGAATTCGCGAGTCCCGCTTTCTTTTCTGCTACCGAATATTCCACAATATCCTGGTTATGGTCCTAACCATTAAGTTCCTGATGGATTTTTGGCACTTTAGTGCCGACTCCTTTGAGGAATCGCCGCTGGTTCGCCTGGCCGCCATCACTTACTTTGGCCTGGTTTTTCTCTCCCTGATTAGCTGCATGGGAAGTGCACATCGGCGACAGGATCGGATAAGGAATATGATCACGAAGCTACAGGATATGGAGGACCTAAGTAAATCTCGTAACTACCGAATTCCCAAAAGCAGGAAGCGTTTCCTAAATTTCCTCCTAGTTGTTCTGACCGCCCTGCTTGTCCTTCGACTCTCGGTTCATGCGTACTTGAATGTCAATAAATTTCGGCGGGGAATCCACAATCCCTGCAACTGCTTTCTGTCCGAGTGCATGATTTTCGCCATGAACTCCTTGGCCTTTGGCCTCATGCTCGAGATTACCCGCAATTGGTGGCGGCTGGAGTCGGGTCTGAGGATGCTGATATTGGCTCCGGAACCTCTCCCCGATAGACTCATTCATCTGCAACAGCTCCAAACCATGTTCCAGTGCCTGATTGATATGACGGACGAGGTGTGCTTGGTGTTCAGATTCGTGTTTCTGTGCTATTTGCTGCGCAACGTGTGGAGCGGTATACGGGTCGGATACATGCTCGTCCGGGTCTGTCTGGGCCACAGCGCCATTGAATCCGAGATGGAGTACCTGCAGATGGTGTTTATCACCTGTATACAGCCGCTAATGTTCTCCTTGATGATGAACTCTCTGACGCATTCCATTGATTCAATGCTAGAGGACACCAAGGCTGCGATTAGGGGGCTTTATAGTCGAGGTAACAGTCAGGTGGAGCGCAGGGTAAGTTTGGGAGATAAATGTCAAAGATCAAAGTTTTATACCTTTCTTCTTCCCCAGATGGAATGGTTCTCCTTGCAATTGGCGGAGCAGCACACCTATGTCCACATCTTTGGCACTTATCGCATGAACCGCAGCTTGGTCTTTGATGGCTGTTCCGTTATCCTGCTGCACGTCATCTATATGGTGCAGTGCGAGTACACTTCAATGCTTTAGATCAGCGATGGGCACGAGATCTAACGGTTTGAGCAGCAGCTCGCCAAAAAAAAAAAAAAAACAACAACAACCCCCAGCGTCGCGAAGCGTCGCACCCACGCGACACACAGAATGTGCGAGCCGAGAAAATACACAGACAAAAACTTTTTGAGTAGATCCATATCTTCAGCCATTTTTGCGTGCATTTATGTCCGCCTAAGAAAAACGACTGAAAAAAAATCCAATCTTTTTTTCTTTAGTGCAGAAGTCAACGCCAGCCGCGCAGGTCCCTTTAAAATTGTTCTTGTTTTTGGGACGATGTGCGAGTTCGGTCGCTTGTGTTTTGTTGTTGCAAACTCGGGACCGCGGCGATGTGCTCGCTACCTGCGTCAAAGGTCAGTGTGGTTGTTTTTGTAAATCTTCACGGTTCGCTGATCGCGAGCACTGCACTTGTGCGTCTGCAATTGTGCGACATGCTGGCGCCTCCGAAAAAATATAACGGTTTGAGCAGTGTGAGCAAATTGAGCCACGGCGTGCCCATCGCTGTTTTAGATTGAAATGAAATTGCACCTCTTCTCATTGTTTTAAAAAATTTATCAATAAATATTAAACAAATTTAAATTAATTTTTATTTTGAAAAATATTAATTCGCTTTCTTCAAAAGTGCGGTGACTGTGCATTGGCTATATCCCTAAATTCTGAATTAATTGTTAAATATTCAAAAATGAGAATCGCGCTAAAACGTCGATATCCTAATCGATACCACCGATGTTCTCAAAACAGGCGATATATCGATATTTGTGAATAGACAACGGTCACACCGTCAAACAGCTGTTCATTGTTTGGTTTTTTAGTTTTTACAAAATTGTTTTTCGTCTTTCTTATATAAACTAACTTTGTGCTGTCCCGCTTCCTCTAAAGATGCTAAATTCGTGGTGAAATCAAGTGAGTTTCTGAACCAATAACCCAGCCTTCAATTCGCGCTTACAGTTCTGTTTATTTAATTAGTTTCTTAGCCTAAACAGTTTAAAGCTCAATTAAAAGTAGTTAGTTAATACTCGTAGATAATGCTAGCATGTGTTGATAATCGTAGGCGTTGCGCGGCGTCGTTGTTGTTGTTGCATGTGTTGTCGCTCGTACTGGTCATCGATGTCGATGAAACTAGCATCCTGCGTGTTATCCTTGGGCAGCGCTGCCGGCGTCGCTGCCGCAGGGTAGTATCCCAGGCCGACGCCCACTCCAACGCCCGGCGAGGGCATGGCCGTGCCCGGTTGACCCATTATAGAGCTCATAAAACCATTGGCCACGACAAAGTTTCTGAAAAATTGATTACATCAAATGACGGGCTCCTGGCAAAAGGACATCCCTTGTGGAGGGATCGTCTAATTGGGTTTGTGTGCGCGTTAGTGTCGTAAAATTAATTTCGTGTTAATTTTATGTGGGGCCATCAATTAAACGTGCGACATTTCCCTGAATTACTTCCGTTTCAAAAAAATATATGTACATCTATTCAAATATCAATTAAAAACAAAAAACTCTTCACGAGCTATTCATCAAAGGCGTAGTATTTAAGGCCTATAAAGGTCTGCTTTTAGGTTTAACTATTTTTGGAATTTATAAGGGGAAATGCAAGATCTAATTTGGTTTATATGAACCCTTCCAGGGTATTAAAATTTTAGTCAGGAGCTGCCAACGCATTGAAGGAATCATTTCCTACCCTATAAAGTATATATATTCTTGATCAGCATTAACTGGCGAATCTTTCTAGCCATGTCCGAAGGAAAATAAATTTTGTGCAATTTTTTCAAAATTTGATAAGGGGTTACATCGTTAAAATTGTCAAAAATTGACCAAAATTTGGATTTTCTAAAATTTTAAATAAAGTATGCTGTTTACTTAAGACTAACACAGAACCGCTTTTCCGTATTAAAATAAATGCATTTTTGGCCTAGTTAGGATAGATTTCAAAATTGGGTCCCTGATAAAATTTTAGCCTTCAAGGGTATTCAAACTTTGACTTGCCGAAGTTTTTTCCTTTCTTGTTTAAATTGTTGAATATTATTTTGATAGTATAGGATCTTTAAAATTTACATAACAACCAAATTTAAGATCATTTCGGCATTCCCAAACCGAATAAGGTTGAAAACTTTTCCGGAAAGCTCAAGAGATGTTCAAATCTATTGCCACTAGTATTATGTATCTTTGAGATCCTTTTAGATTAAGTTTAAGCCATAACTCTCAAATAACAATGCATAAAAAATATTTTTTCGTTAAAGATTTTCTTAATTTTGGAAATAACCCCTGAATTTATTTAAAAAAATATATATTTTTTGCGTCACACACAAATTGTAAGTTCCTGTAAATCAATGTTAAAACTCACCTATAATGCTGATCGATTTGAGCCTTTTCTATGCGCTTGTCCTTGGCCCGACGATTCTGGAACCATATTTTGATTTGTGTCTCGGTCAGGTGCAGTGTCTCGGCCAGCTCGAAGCGTCGGCTTCTGGAGATGTACTCGTTTCGGTGGAACTCCACCTCGAGGCGCAAAGTCTGTTCTGTGCTGAAGGTGGTTCTTTGGCGACGTTGTCTGCCTTCCTTGCGACGTCTGCGAGCCACTGAAATGGGAAAATAAATATTAATTTAATTTATTAAAAATAATTTTTAAAAATCAATGACGAATCCTCTTAAATGTAGCATTTTTTCCACGGTAAAACTTGAAAACTGTAAAGAAATCAATGCATCAATTACATGGATCCTGAATTAAATTGAAACTATAAAAGTAAACAAAAAAGCTTTTCTGCCAGCTTAAATCTTTGTAATCGCTTAAATTCATGCTTATTGGTAATTAATTTCGTGTGTTATATCCCCCGTTTATCTATTCAAATTGAAATAATAACAAGAACACCCCTCAAGCTCACCCATTGCAAACGCTATTCTTCTTCCTACATTCCCAACATAATGGAGATGTTAGAGCGAAATTAATCTTACATTAACAAACCATCAAGTTATGTTCGGGGCTAAACGATTCCGCGTGTGCTTGGTTGCGTGTTTTGCCAGTTAAACAAATAATTAATCGCTCTGCCATGTGTCCCCCGCTGGCCATCCAACCCACCTTGGCCGATTCAAGGCTCGCGTTTGTGGTGCACATTAGAGATGCATTTTCAACGTGGCCCAAGTTCTCGCTGTTTTTTATTATTTATTTCGACAATCTATGCTGATCCGGGAAACTTTTAACAATGCAAACAGCTGGCCATTCATCGTCCTCGTCGGAATTCTCATCATCATCCTCGCATTTTCCGTTCCGTGGTCTGTGTTTGTTTGCATTCGCAGTGTCGCCGGCGATGAAGCTCAGCCGAGCGCACATTATGCCCCCGCTACCTCTGCCTCCTCCTGGCTCGACACGGAACCACCTGACACCCACTTACACCCACCCCAAATTGCGGTTTAGAGTCTCTAATTGATGTAACAAGGCGAAGCTGACAAGTTGTTTTTTGGTGTGGAGGATGGGATAGGTTTTTCGGTTGGTTTGTGGGTGTGGTAATCCTAGTTTTTGCTTGATTACCCCTTGCCTGACTAACTCGCAGCTCAGGCTTAAGTTCTCCCTTTTCGTCCTTTCTTTCTGCGGCAAGAGGGAAAGCCTTCCCTCTTTCTTCCTAATTTTTTTTTTAAATCACGTGTGAAATTCGATAGCCAAGTGTCCTTTGGACAGTTTGTTGTGGTTGCTATGAGTCTTCCTTTATCTGTTCCACGCTTAACCCTCTACTCTTTCTGGTTTTATGTGTGTGTTTTTTTAGGTTTCCTGTCAAGCTCTCAATTACAATGTTATTTTTTCTGTCACTTGTACTATATGATTTTTTTTAGGATTTTGGAGTTACAATATCAGGGGTTTTATGAAGATTTGTAAAAGTGGAATTATAATAAGGAGTCTTTTAATTTTTGTTACTGAAAAGAAAGCATATATATCATATTTCCCTTCCTTTCCAGCTTGTTTAGAAGTTTGTTTAAAATATCTATACACCTTATATGAGTAAATTTTTTATTATGATTATAAGGGTAGAACTTTAAATGGTTATTTTATAAATAAACCCATTTATGCCTTTGTTTATCAAGTGTTTTTATCCTTATTATACCTTCACCTATTCATCCAAGCATACTCTCATGTATGATCGCTTTTTCATTAGCTGTAGAATTTCAATTTTCCCTTTCACCTCTCACCTCTCCACCACACCTGGGCAAGCTCATTCGCCGCAAACGAAAAAGCCGCAAGTAAACGAAAACTTTCACGGCTCAATGCGTTTTAATTTTTTCTTTCTTGGCAATCATTTTTTTCCTTGGCTAATTTCTTTGGCACTAAGGGTTGGGGGGCGCTCATTGTGTGGCATTGTTTCCCCTCCTTGGGCAGCTAGCCAGTTTCGTTATGTTTTTATTTTTTCTTGACTGACTTTACATAATCCTTGCCCATGCAATGATATTCAATAGCACTTGCACTTAATCAGCCTTTTTTCTGTATCCGATTTTTTGCAGTTCCTGCGGAACTAAGTTCATCTGGCTGGGCTGCACCTGCGCAGGCGTGTGAAATGTTCATCACTTCCTCTCGGCTTTTTCAGTCCTGACTTTTGTACTTTCTCTCTCGGGGAGATTGGGTGCGAAATGTTGGCTCCCCTGGGCTTCAGCTGTCCGCGCTGTCTGCTCCTGAGACGTGGAGCAGGGCGCTTGGCCTTTGGCTATCTTGCCCGCCAGTTGGCCGGGAGCAGCTCCAAAGACACCGCCGCCAGCAAGGACACAGCTTCTTCCAATTCCACGGGAAACAAGGATATAGCCGCCAATAACAAATCTAGCAGAGAGACTATCACCGCCAAAGATAACTCAAAGGGAAAGAAGTCCATCAAGGATATCGAGGTGAGTTTTTGATCGTTTTGGCTAAGGTTTTATTTGGAAAGGAAGTATAGTTACAAGACAGAAATTATAAATAAGCCTTATAAGGCTTATTATTTATAATAAACTATTTTAAAGACCTAGATAATTGTCAGCCAGTCAACAATTGTTGAAACAAAGTTGAGTCCTGACTCCTGAATTGTATAATATCTTTCTATAACTAACTAATAATCTCAAAACCTATACCATCTTCCTCCTTACAGCTACCCCCCGAGCCCACCACCTGCTGCATGTCTGGTTGCGCCAATTGCGTTTGGCTGGACTATGCCCAGACTCTGGCCAAGCTTCTGGGGGATAACGATGAAGCGGCCCGAGAGCTCGTCCTGAGCAAGATCACCGACCCGAATCTGAAGATGTTCCTCAGCCTGGAGCTTCGGCAGATGGCGCGGCAGCGGGAGGAAAAAGCGGCTGCTGAGAAAGCGGCCGCGGGGAAGCCAAAGACACCGCCCTCGAAGTAGTACAAATGTCCTTCTCCCCTACATATATCTATCTATCTAGTTAGGACCAAATTTGCAGTAGCTCAAATTTACTCTTGTACTTAACGTCTAAGAACAAAAAAACCTCAAAATAAATATTTAAGAGTTGAGTATTCCAAGGAAAGTCAGTTTTATTAATAGAAATAATAGAATAGCAAATAATATAATCTTACTTAGAACCTGAAGTGTTTTTAAAAATACCAAAGCTAACAATAATTTCTTCTATAAAAACTATTTTTAGTTGATCTATTTTAATTTATAAGAATCCAGTTTCTACTCACAGAAAGCGGAAAATCCAGCGCTGAAATGCGGATCACTTGGAAACCCGGCGGGAAATCCAGGCGGCAGTACAGTATTCGCCATTCCCCCACTAATCACAGGCGGCGGACTCACATAGCTGAGCATCTGCTGCACCTGCTGATGGAGCTGCTGCTGATGTGGCTGTGGTGGGAGGTAATCCTTGGCAGGACCATAAAAGTCGTAGGCGGGAAAGCCAGCGAGTGAGGTGCGCTCATCGCTGATGGAGATGTCCGGCGAGGAAACGCTGCCGCCGTCGCTATGATAAGGCGTTTCGCAAGGCGGCGGCTTATGGTTGTGGGTTCCAACGTCGATGTCTCCGCTTTCCGGGCTGCGCGTCTCCAAGTGTCCGTAGAGTCTTTCGAAAAATTGTCGCGGCGACGAGGGTCTTTGCGGTATAGTAATAGTTATATTTGTAGAATTCGTTTCCGGGTTCACACTATCACGTCGCTTGACGGCCTCAGCGGGACACCCACTGGCACCGACTTCCACTTTTTGGCGTTGCATTTGAAAAGGAGCTGCCGCGGAGCTGGCCAAACTAATCACTTTGGTAATCGGCGAGCGACTGAAGTGCCAGAGTAGAGATATATCCGCTGGTCAAGCGACGCTTATCCTGACGGGGGCGCCTAAAATGCTGCTTAATAATAATACAAAAAAAATGCCCCTTCCTCCGTCACACCTGCAGTCTGGTGGGCAAGCCACCTGATTGGCCAAAGCGTTGCAAAAAAAACCCTTATTTCTACTTCCGGACTGAGGGTCCTTAAGGGTGGCAAGCAGGACAAGATAAGCCCCGCCCCTTCACTGCTTGCAGGTAGCTCCCTCTGGCGGGCAGGTGAACACTGCTTGACAAGCAGTGGGCACTGCTTTAGATATTTCGCGTTTTGCAGATTAGTGTGCCCAAAAGCCGGGAAAGCGGAAGTGCTTTCGATGGTTCGTTCGTAAAAACATCGAAAAATCGATAGTTGAAAAAATCGATTTTTTGCCAGCACTAATGCACGTTCGAAAAAAAACATTTAAACAATAACAACGGCGGAGAGCGCGTCGCTCGTGAATTTTCAGCTGGCGCGAAGATCGAATCGAAACTGTGTTTAAAGTGCAATCTGAATATGGATAATATGTCTTCAAAATCCGATATTAAGTGTCTTTAAAACATCGTGCGTTCAAGAATCGAAGATCGGTTGTTTTTGATCAGTCGTTGCACATTCGTTTCGCATGTGCCGTTAGTCCCGCCTGCCGGAGTGCTAATAAAGAATAATAACAATAAACAAGAGTCCAGAAACAAACAAGAAACTCTTCAAAAAGGTACGCGATTTCAATTTCGTTGGTGCCAAAAAATAAACAAACAAAAACGGGCAAAACTCTGTATTGCACTTGCTTTTGTTTGTTGTGTTTTGTCCGGCTTTGGATATTAATTGTATGGCTTTTAATTTGCCCGTGTGCGTGTGTGTTTGTTTTTATGATGGCTTTGCGTTTGTGCAATGCAAAAATATTTTGTTAAAACTCGTTTCGTTCAAAGCTTACGCTTAAGCCCCGACTGTGATTTTGAGTTTCATCCATCCATCAATTTGGTTTTGTTACACTGACGTATGCAAATTTTCGGCTGGTCGTTGTTTTTTTTTTTCAAGCCCAATTTAAAAATATCTTCTGAGTGCACAGTGAAAAAAAGATAATCGATTTAGACATTGAATCTATAAAATAATATTAAATGTTAACAACAAATAGATATTGTGTAACATCCCAGTAAAGGAACATTTCTTTGAGTGCAGCATTTCCCCACAGACAGCGATCCCACATGTCTTTTCACTGTCCTTCCAACAAAAACAATAAACGGGAAAAAATAAAAACAAGGAATAACGGCAGCCTTTCCATTGACATTTATGAGCGGCGCTAAGGGTGCATCATCTCCCTCGCACACAGGAACTGCCCTTCCCCCTCTCTGTCCCTCACATTCAGAGGCGTGGGCGAGGCATTCCAGGGCTTTATTGTGGGATTTCTTTTGATTCCCCTAATTCCCACCGCGGGAATTCGCGTGGGCTGGTTTTACATTATCCTGGGCATGCGCAGCACATTACGGGAAATTGCTATGGAAATGACCGCGGATTTTTTTGATTGATAGAAATGTCGCTGCGCTTGCGTATTTACCGATAAACAGCCCACTTAACAACAACAAGCAACAGCTGTTGGCAATGTGTATAGCTGACCAGTTTCCGTTATAACTGCGAGCGTGGAATAATGATGATTGGGAGTATGTTAATAGGCGGAGTAGTGACGAATGCCCATGTGTTTCACACACATTTGTAGTTACCATAAAAAGAGTTAAAAGACATTTGTACATAAAACAAATTGTACATAGAGTCTTAGTTGCTTAGAGTAAGAACCATTAAACAATAGGTTTCTTAACAAAACTTTAGTTGCAATTTCTATAATACCTATTTAAGTTATAATTTTTGCAATTCATTTTGTTTTCAATATTCTGTTAAATAACAATAATAAGAATATAATAGAATAAAATATAATATTCCTTCATCCCACTTAAAAATGCCCACAAGAACCTCTTTAATATTAAAAAATGTATTTGCCATTGATAACTTAAAACCCGAACGTATGAATCCCTGGGGTATCATTGGTATCTGGCAATTTCCAATCAGTTTTATTGCCTTTGTCACTGCCCCCCTGGAACGCTTAAGAAAGTGATTTGCATGCACATGTGAACTCCTGCTTCGCACCGCACTAATCCCACTCTTTATGCCCCCCTTATCTTTGCAGTGCCAAAATCGTCTGACACACTTCAGCGACTTACTTGGACGGCGTCATCGGTCGTCTCCACTAATTGCTGACACACATAATTTCCCTAACTGGCTGGAAAGCAAAATAAATAAGTAACGAGCGCGAAAAGTGAGCAAAAGCCGACCGCAAATTGAATTTACGGTGCCCCATCAAAGTCAAGTCGGTCGACTCTAACTAATTTAATGATCAAAAGTTACACATTTTTTTCGCACTCGGCGTCAGGCCGCTGAGCGGTGTTAATTGAAAGTGTCACGCGCTGTGCCGTCCAAATTAAAATATCTATCTATATCGACTGGTTTCGTCTATGTCCGAGTGAGTGAGTGAGTGCCTGCAAATGTGCCGCGGAGGAGCAGAACTGTCGGCCATGTCCTGGCTCGTCCTGGTGCTCTCCTGGGGAGCTATAGGCACTCGTGCTGCCACGCCATTCGCAAAGGAGTACCGCAGCGCGGGTCTCTTCAAAGGCAACACGCTCGTGGATCTGGATGGCTCCACCACCTTGGATGTGGGTGCAGAGAAGCCCACGAGTAGCAGCAGCGGACTAAGCGGAGGAGGCTTCAAGTCGGAGTCGTCGGTGGTTCTGCCGGGCATGCATCTAAATACAGGTAAGCTGAAGGGGAAGTAACTTTAAACTGAGTTTTGTCATTTATTTAAAGATACATTTGATCCATTTGTTTTAAATTTAAAATGTTTAAATACTTCACTTCCCTTTTACCACCTAAAAAAAGAAACATTGTGAGTCCAATTCTTCCCAGAATTATGTATCCAACCAAAACATACAACATTCATTCATTCTTCTCATATCAACCCAATTCTACCCAAAAACCGAAAAAACTTATTCAGAATCCCTTGAAAGAAGTAGGAAGTATACCCTTGGTCGCCACTGCAGGTATTCATACATACACGCCGGCGCTTATCTAACCTTATCTTACAACACTTTCCTGCCCTCCGGAACCCCCGGGGCTCCATCCTTCCCAGCAATCGGTGCCTCATTCGTGTCTTTGGTTTATTTATGACCTGCGCCTTGGCGGCATCATATTTCAGAAAGAAACGGGGCAACAAATGTGGGGAAACAAGTGTATTTGTCTGCCGGTTGTATCTCAGGGTATTTTTTTTTTTTTTGGGCATTGTGTTGTCTTGTCTGGTTTTAAGGAGCTCCTCCTCCTGGTAATTCAATCGCTGCTGCAACACTCCACAGATGAGAGAGCTGCCCAGCTGGCATTGGCATCCAGGATGTCAACCACAGCTCATGGCAGCTCGGCTAAGATTCAATCCCAGTCACAGCGCCGGACCCCATCCCTATTGCAATCCCATTCCCGTTTCGGGCACGCTCGGCACATCCGCCAAGCAATTTTCCTGCCTCATTATAACGAGATTAAAGAGTAATCACGGGGAGAGACAGACGTGTGCTGGAATGGCTCTCCCCGGGGTTCCCCTATAGTCTTAATTTCCATTCCCCATTTCGGGGTTCTTCTTCGATCTTTGCCAAAGTGCGAACTTCCTGTCCCAACTTGAGTCCAGTGAAAGGGATCTTCAGTCTCGAGTGTCGGGGCTCGGTGTGTTTACCTTTCCATAGTCGCTGGTTGCCTTTTTGGACGTCCAAATTCTGTCCCACATTAACCCTCCCCCCGTTTTGCGGTTGATTTAAATGTCATTTAAGCCGCTTAACTTGGCCCTCTCGGTACGTTTCTGATTTGGAGTTTTTATGACAACATTTTTGAGTTTTATGCGAGTCCCATTTTATGAGCGTGAAAATGAAAGTACTTTCGTCAAGTCTGCCTACCCTTTCTCTATCCCTGTCTCCCGCCGTCGCGTCGGCCTTTTCCTTTGGAGTTGAGTTCAGTTTTGGTTGCCTCCAACTTATGACTCGGCAGCAATTTCGAGACTTGAGTAAACTTACGGACGTAAATTTGTGGCTTTCTTAAATGTGTCATAATTAAAAGCAACCGGGCTCTGACATTTTCGTGGGCCGATGTGCTATGCGGGCACAGAATGATTAAGCGGGATCTTTCAATAACCCTAAGCTAGATTTAGATCAGATTGAGATATGACCGAGATCTTTGGGTGGCCACCCTCGGCTTGTAAATCAGATCGATGCTCTGTATCGAATTTCCTGTGTAAAAATCCATTAAGATTTTACAGACCATTTCCCTTCGAGCCAGGGGTGCTTAGCCCGAGCACCAGGGAGCCTAGCAGCTTAGGGTTTTCACATAGCAAAACGTGACAAGTTAGAATTGAGAATATTCCCAAAATATTCCTTGGGCTGTCCTGCTTTAATGGGTGATTTACAGGCATTTCCTGAATTCATTCTCCGCAAACATGAGATCTAAATGAGAGAACCCAAAGACCGTTAAAATAGTTGCACGCCTTTTTGAATAAATTTATTGTTGATTTTTTATTTCTGGCTCAATCTCCCTCTCATTCATTCCAATTCCTGGACATGGGCCGAAAATATTAAACGTTTGCCTTTGGGGGTTCAGAGGGCTACCTGAATGTTCTCTCCAGTTCCAAGATTTTCTTTTTTGGGGTCCACATCGCAGCTCTTAAAATTTCAGCAAAGCACGCAAACTTTGGCAGGGGCCAGGGACCAGTTTTTGGTAGCCAACTTGGTTTGGTTTGACTTGGTCTGGGTCTCTTGGTCCGAGTACAGTACGCAGGCGCAGAGATCTTAGCAGGAGGCTGTTGTCGCTGCCACTGCCGTTTCTTTCTGGGGTCCCTGGCAC